GGAACCAAGTGGTGGCCTACGGTGGCCATTGTGATCACAGATTGAAGTCTAACCACTAGTTCTCTATCCTCCCCACCACAGCTTTACACCACAGGTTTAGCTGTTTGACGTTCTTGTATGTACACACCCTTCAAGAGTGTAGGGATGAAACCTAGTTTGATACATGCTGCTGAACAATGCTATACTGACCCAGAATCTGCATCCCAAAGAGAGAAACAGAAAGCTCATCTTATTTTATGTAATATCCATCCATCCATCATCTATACACCGCTTTATATTCACGAGGGTCATAGAGGGGCTGGAGCCTATCCCAGGGTGAAGGCAGGGGACACCCTGGACAGGTCACCAGTCTATCACAGGGCTACACTTAGAGACAGACAACCAAGCACACTCACATTCACACCTACGGACAATTTAGAATCACCAATTAACCTCAACATGTTTTTGGACTGTGTGGGAGGAAGCTGGAGAACCCGGAGAGAACCCACGCTGCACGGGGAGAACATGCAAACTCCACACAGAAAGATCTCAGGCCCAGGCCAGGATGCGAACTGGAGATCTTCTTAAGTAATTTAAGTTGTAATTATCTTTTAAGCTTTAACAGCAATTCAAAAACGTACAACTTTACCAACTGTTTCAGTTTTTTTTTTAATCAAGGGAGAGTTACATATAAAAAGCCTGTTATATATATGGTCAGTCTTGCTTGCATGAGCAAATGCTCAGACTGAGGGACCAAAATATGACCATTCTACATTTGCAGGGGGAAAAAAGCCAAACAAACAAACCAAAAACAAAAAACCTTTACCAGATCCTAGTGTTAGTAATAGCCATAACCTGGCTGCCCTTTGAAAACTGTCTGTCCCCACCTAGAAAGTCATACCTGTGAGACAGCATGTAAAAAAAATAATCTCTTCCATATCAGACATCATCATAGTGGGAGAAGCACTAAAGATAACAATACAAACAGAAATAATGATGACTCGGGTCTAGAAGTGTTCCAGTAAGTCATGACAATATGATAGTGAGTCAGCATGCGCAATGCCCAATCAGCTTAATGGAATTCAGCCATCATAGTGGTATTATTTACACCTGCTTTTCTTCTACTCTGACATGTCAAAAGACAGTGTGAAAAAAAAAGGCCTGCACCACGGGCCAGACTGAGACACCTAAATGAAACTAGTGCCCTCATAGCTGTACTGGTGAAATGGAACAGTTACTGCTGCTTTTTGTTTCGATGCACATGTCACCATATTAGAGACGTTCCCTTGTGGGTTCATTAGAGTATATGAAAATAAAATATGGTTTTACACTCACTTTTTTTTATCAGTCATTTTGACTTGTCACAGCAGTTAAAGCACAGGACTAAACATGAGTGGTGCCTCTGTTGTGTGTAGACAACCCAGAAAGTCATACCTGCAGGCCAACATGGACAGTCTGCCTTTTTAGCATCAGACAGTGTCATAGTGGGAGGTGCAAATACATACAATCAAAAACAGTATTTCTATGTAATTGTCGAGCAAATTTCAAGCAAAGTTTAGAAATGTCACAAAAAAAATTTACAAAAGAAAGAAAGTGCACATTAGGCTTTTTTGGACTGTGGCTAAATGGGCCGAGAAGTGTCATCAGAAGGTGGTGTTAGACGGTACTTTATGCACGGCTCTAATAGACAAAACAGAAGGATCTGGAAATCATGTATCATGTCTGTTGTTTGCAAATCAGGAAATAAACAAAACTCCGGCCATCTTTGAGACAAAGCGAAGAGACGTCTTAAAGAATTGTCTTCAATAATTAGGAAAGTTATTTTTTACTTTTACATCATCCGGTATTGGGCATGTTTCAGGGTGTCCAGAAATGGGGAAAAAAGGGGCAACAATTGATCAATCATGTGAGCTAAAACTTGGCTAAAAACACACACACACACACACACACACACACACACACACACACACACACACACACACACACAAATATATATATATATATATGCATGAATGCTTTAATTAATTAATACTTTAGTTGATAATTAAGTAACTCTAATATGATACTTGATAAAATAGAAAAAAAATAGGTCATTGTAACATGGATAGTGAGTCAGCACGCATTATATCCAATAAACCTAACAGAATTCAACCATTCTTAATTTAGATGTGAACTCTTCTGCTTTTCCTGTTCTGGAATAGAAAACAGTATGAAAAAAGGGGCCTGCACCAGACTGGGACACCTAAATGGAACAGTGCCATTGTGAATCTTATATACAGTCGTCCTCAAATGTATTCATATCCTTTCATTAAAGACGGATAAAGACAAAATCCACAATAGTCACTCAAATAACTAGAAACTGAAAAAAGTAATAATGATAATAATAATAATAAAAAAGCTAAATTATAATTCTGTGACAGAAGACATTGCTTTTGAATTTTGGTTAAAAAGAATCATTAAAAAAAAAAACAAATCCCGGACAAATTAGAGCACTTTGCTGATGAGCAGTGGGCCAAAATTTAAACACCTGTCAACAGGTGCAGAAGTCTGATTGAGAGTTACAGAAAACACTTGATTGCAGTGATTGGCTCAAAGGGTTGTTCAACAAAATATTAGTTTATGGGTCCCATCATGTTTGTTTTTGGGTTGTTGTTTTTTTTTTAATATTTCTGTTCAACCACAATTCGAAAACAATGTCATGATTTTCATTACATTTTATTATTACTTTTGTCAATTTCAACTTATTTCAGTGACAGCTGTATTTGTCCTTCTTTAATGGGAGGGTATGAATACATCTGAGGACCACTGTGCACGCAGCCTGGGTTTCCTGTCACTGCTTTACTAAACTGTTTTTATTTCTATTTTTTATATAACAGTATTTTAATTTGTACCAAAAAAAGCATTTACGCTACCGCAAAACAATTACTACTGTTGTGTTTTGTCGCGCTCGCCAAGCATGTGGAGTGCGGTCAGGACTCCATTACCCAGAACGCCCCGCGCCCCATGATGTTCCCAACAGCTGACAGACGGTGAAAGCCTCTGCCAGAGCTGTCGGTGGAAGCTTTGAGTATCCTCTCGTCGGTAGCCGGACTGAAAAACCCCAAGTCGAGCATTTTTTTACTGGACTTTTGGGAGCGCTTTTGTTACCGCCGAGCAGCTTTTTCTATTTCGCAACAAATTAATTTAGTTTTGCATCTTGACTTTATTTATTTTTTTCCTCCAGATTTGGGAGCTGGTGGTGTCGGTCGGTCGGTGGTGGTTGTTGGAGAGAGACACAGAGAGAGAGAGAGAGAGACAGAGGAGGGGGGGAGACAATTTGTGTCAGCTAACTTCCACAATAGGTTTCGCTGCGTCGCCGGGACATATGTTTGATTTTGGCTCAGCAGTTTGACTCCCCCCTTTCCAGCCGAGCCCAAATGCTGAGGAATGGATAGTGTGTCTGCGAAAGGTGGGAAGATGGTCGAGAGTGATGAGCAGCCGGAGAGGGATAGCGGCGGTGGCGCAGCGATGGCCGCACTACATCAATGCGAACTCATCCAGAATATGATTGATATCTCCATCTCCAGTTTACAGGGGCTACGGACCAAATGCGCCGCGTCCAACGACCTCACGCAGCAAGAAATACGCACTTTGGAGGTAATGAGTTGTTTTCTTTTTCTTTCTTTTCTTTTTCTTTTCTTTACCCCTTTCAGATATGTCAAAGCCACCCCTGTCCTGCAATGGAAAGCAGTCTAGTCAAATTGCGGAGTCATGAAGCCCTTTAACGCGATGTCCGCCTCGCAGGCTTTTGCAAAGCGAGCCTATCAGAGCACATTTTTTTTGTGTGTCGCTCGCGTGCTGGGGGTCGATGCATTGAGGTGAAGATGGCACACATTTTTTTTTTCTTTTCCCCCTAATCAAGTTTTTTTTATTATTATTATTATTCCCTCTAGAATATTCCTAAATCATGCACGCCAGATCCATCCTATTTGTGTGACCTCTTTCTGTATTATTTGCCAGGAGCCCCCTCCTCCTCCTCCTCCTCCTCCACCTCCCTCCTCCTCCAGCCGGATAGTTCACAGCACCGCGCCGTGCAGCTGAATCCAGCCTGGCCTAATGGCACACATTCAATAATCTGATGCTGCTATTATTTATGTTCCCAGCGTTCAGCACCGTGTCACTTATTAGGAAGGCCCGTGATGAGTAAAAAACAAGAAAGAAAAAAAAAAAAAAAAGAAGCGAAACGCACGTCGTGTTCCATGTGTTTCCAAAAAAAAAAAAAAAAAACGCGTAAAGAAGGCAGGCTTTGATGTACGGTGCTGCTCTCCTGCATCTGGATGCAGATTCAGTTTCTGTCGTCTTGGAATGACTTGACATTTGCTTCTTTTTTTTTTCTGGTGCAGGAGGCTTTGTAGGGCAGCACATCTTACTACATAGCAGGCAGCAGGATAATAGAGAAGTCATGGCAGGTGGCGTGCAGGCATCAACAAAGGACGCACACTGTATTTGTACTCACTTTGCATATTTGAAAAGATGGCCATAAAATCCAGGTTAGGACTGCAGAATGATATGAACAGTCAGCAATTGCAGCCTATCTGTTTTATGTAAAGTGGGCTCTTATTTCATGTTTTTATCTATTGATATACATGAATATATCTATTTATTTATTTATTTAAATTATTATTTTTTTTAGAGCTGCAATGATTACATAATTAATAATTAATAATTATTATTATTAGAGCTGCAACGATTAAATATTATTAAATAGTTGACATAATTAATTGCCACGTATTTTGAGATCTGATTAAACTGTATGAGAAATAACTTTTAAATTAGAATTTTTTTACTTTCTTTACTCCTGTGAACTGAATGAGACGTTTGAGGATGTCATCTTGGCTTTTGGAAAAGTAATCCAACATTTTTTTAAACCATATATATTATGGTAAAAAATATTATGCATGATTATAAATATATATTTTTAAAAACACACATATATAGACATACACAGTAAATTATATGCATATGGTAATTATATGTGTATCTATATGGATATGTATGTTTAACTGTGTGCGTATTGATGCACTCCTTTTTTTCTCAAAAGGGTCAGGCCTCCATGTTTGTGCTCACGGGATGTTTACAGTCACATATTGTTTTTGTTAAATTCTTAGCAGCGAGATGGCTGAAGGGATCATGTCATGGAAAGTCCAGCTTCATGTTGTTAGTAACACTGCCATGAGGGGGACAACAGGCCCTGCTTCTGCTGAGATGGGTGATAGTAAGAGGGGGCGGTTGGTGCGGGGATATAAATGGCTGATCCAGTACATTTTGACGAGACAATGGAGACGTGGGGAAGAATAGCGCCTGGAATACTACAAGTTTAATGCCCACGAACTTCTGCGGGATAGACGAATGTATCCTTGTGCAGGCTCCAGACATACTGACATTGTAGAGACATGATAGATGGTAAATGGGTTTTCTGGTTCATGGTTTATTTAAGCCTTATACCTTGGCTAAAAGGAATATTCAGTCCTGATTGGCTAGAGGCTATCAATTATCCATGTCTGTTTTATTTCTGTATAACTGAACACCCTATGAACAATTGCGCTGTTGCTCCTAAAAACTAATGTTCCAGAAAGCACAGAGCATTTAGTTTCAGCTACGCAGACGCACAATGACCTGCTTTTTCAAGTGATCTCTGAAATGCTCAAGAATCATGCGGAGAACAGTCCTTTAAAACAGCGTAGTTTAGTCACAAAGTTGTTTCTGTAGCGTTGCTACAGCCCAGCTTGTTTGCCTTAACAGGGCCGGCAGCAACGCAATATCACCTGCTTAAGAAGATCTGTTTGTGTTTGTGTTGGTAGTATCAAAGTCTGCAGGAAAAAAAAAAGAAAAGAAGATATACGCTAGAACAAGGGAGAGATGACAAAGCAGTCATATGCTTTCAGGTGCAGCTTTTTATCCAGTTTGAGAATATAAATGTCTACAAAATAATTTGGTAGCTCGCAAGCTTGCTGGCAGGCATCAGGTGCGAGTTGGCAAGCTGCTGTGTGGGAACAAATTTTCACTGGCTCAAGTAAAGAAGCCTGGTATTAAATGGAAGAACAAAAAAAAATCAGATTATTACCTGAAATAGAAACTAGAACAAATCAGTTTGCGTGTTTTGTAGTTTTCCATTTGAGCCCACGCCACTCCCACCGCTCTTGTGCGATGAGAGAAAATGAAACTGAACTTAGCACTTGGTCACATTTTTGTATCCTAAAGTAAGAAGAAAAAAATTATAGGTTAACAGATTCCGGTCCGAGCTTAGCAGTCTTGTTTGTGCGAAGAAATGTGAAGCCGGGGCCCTGTCCTTGCTCTACATACTTGAGCTCTTCTTCATCCGTTGTCATGCGTACCATGTCACTGGAACAGGATGTGATCTGGCAGAGTTCTTCCTGAGGTATGCTGTCTTGTAGATACATGTTGCATAGGCATTGTTCTACATGACAATGGACAGGCCGCGTTGCTCTCACACGTTTCTCGAATGCTATGAAAACCGCTCTGAGGTCTCTTTCCTGTGCCTATGAGGCCGTTAATCGGGGAGGGGGGCTATCTCTGACAGTCAGACGGTGGACGAGGTTGCCTCCAGTGAGAGTTGTGCTGCTTTGTGGTCTGGCAGGGTTCAGAGTTGGTATCTGTTAGCATCTTAAGGATCAGAACAACTAGGAACCTTTTGTTTTGACGCCTACTAGCGGAGATCAGGGCCTCAAACTGCTCGCTGACTTTTAGTTGCTGCTCTGGAAACAGGTAATACTTTTCTGGTTTATGGAACAGTTTAATATCATTTATCTTATTTTCACCGATTGGTTCTTTTGCTTCAGTGTTCAAACTATTTCTGGTCACCGGTGAGTTCAGATTCTTGCCTTGACTTCAACTTGCAGATAAGTTGTACTCTTTGTGCTGTTGTGGTCGTGTTCCAACATCTGGAGCAGAAGATAAAATGCAACTATAATCAACTTCTGATACCATTTGATTAGCAATGTCTGAGGTCACAGCTGCTTAAAGGGAAACTGATAATGTGTCTCATATCTGGGTGAACTTTTCTGGGAATTGGTGTTGGGTTTTTCTTTTGTGACGTGCTGATTATATCTGTTTATTATTGTGGTTTCTCTGCAACTTTATCGTGCATCATATTTACGGGGGGGATGATGACATACGAACAGTTTGTCTTGGTTTGGTAATGCTGACGTATCAAACCAAGCAGAGTGTTGCTTTGGAAGTAATTCCCAGTCATTCGAAGAAAGGAAGAACTATCGTAAAGACAACAATAGGCGTTGACTGGTAAGGTTTTTAGTTTTTCAGTTCCAACACCACTTGTTAATATTCAAAGAAAATCAATAACCAATGTTTTAAACCAATACACATTTGCAGTAAAACAAGAGTGTCAACATTTCGAGTTAAGAACATTTTTGATCATTTATCCTTCAGCCCTGATTGGCTGTCGTTTTGTGATGTGCAGCCAATCAGATGCTCAAGAGTGACTCCAGATAAAAAGAGGCAAATGCATCACAGTTAAAGCTGCAAATTTTAAGATATTTTTTTTGAAGTTGGTTTTAAAATATAATGATGCCAATAACTAAAACAATGCTGAATATTTGATCCGATAATCGGCCACTCGAAACACTTGAAAATGTGCATTAAATGTAATCAACTTCTGGAATTTAGTAACAATACAGATGCTGCCTGTTGACAATTTTCTCAGTTTTAAAAATCCAAATGGGCATTTTAAACACAAGTTTTAGACATCTGATCAAGTCCGATGGTTTCATATTTTCAGTTCAATAGCTGTTGCATCTGTGAAGGGAAAAGAAAGAACACATTTCTTATTGGAGCAAGTTGTTTTATTTGTCAACCGCTTGACCTAAATCCAAATGTCACAGATCTTTTTGAAAAGTTTTGTCATGGCAATGTTTTAGGACCTGGAGCAGCAAAAAAAATAGAGATTTTGAGACCAGCTTACTGATCAGCCTCAGACATGTTCATTACCATCATCGCTAGGATTGTCTGGATGTCTTTCAACAGCCCTTCGAGTGGAGCCGGCAGTACATGCGGTGCTGTGTTCATCAGCAGTCTTACTTCCTTTGTCGTTACTGGCAAACCGTTTTGAAACCGCATCTTGCCATAAGTGTGCACTTTCACTTCTTACTTTAGCCCTCCTTGAGGTTTCTCTTGCCACATGCCTCCCGTATTAAAAGTCAGCAAGATTAGGGAGTTGGTATTAGATTCTGAAGGACTCGTTTACATCCTGATACTTCTGTAATTCTGAATTTCAGCCGATTTGTCAAGAGCTGCACTTCAGACACGCAGAAGACATGTCTGACACGCTGAGATGCGAGAGGTGTACACCGTGTTCCCAGCGTCTTGAAATTCTAGCAAGCACACTGGCTTGCGACTGTCATATACAGGCGCAGGTGATCGCGTGTATCCTGTTCGGTAACAGAAGTAGCGAGACATAGATGTCGTTGCTACTGAAGCTGTAAGCAACTTTAATTCATGTGTTGAATTTGAGCAATCTGTGTGAGGTCAGAGCAGTTTGTCACGCCGGTGGCGCAAAGGGTTATCGTTCCCATATTGCACTGGAGTGCAATCAAGAGCGGCTTGAACTCACTTTATTCTCTCATCGAAAGAGCTTTATTATTCCACTTGAACTGTGTGTTTTTTCTGCCTTGCCAGTGAGAGGATAATGATACTGGCCTCTCAAATGGAGTGGTAACTGGTACTTCACTTTTCACATGTTAATCCCACTCAGCTTGGTCTCTGTCTGCCTCTCATGCTGCTGCCTCGGTGTTACTTTTACTGTAGCTCTTCATATATTCCTCACTTTAGCTCCATCATGTGCACTCGCAAAGCCTGTTTGTTCTTAAACCAAATCAATTTACATGATCCACACCTCGACGGTAAAGCATCCTAATAACATCAGCACATAATCTTAAACAATCTGACGGATGCTGGGGATGTTTGTTCATAAAAGCATCGCCACCGTCTTCGTCTTTTTAACCGCTGCTCTCTGCAATGATCAGCAGAGCGTCACTCTGTTTTGTCTCCTCATGGTGTTGGAGAGAGTTTGCTGTGCGCTCGTGGTGCGAGCTGTTGTGGCTGCATCTATATTTAGACATCTTTCTTCCTACGCATTTTCAGGGTTGGTTGTTAAATAAGAAAATCAAATGACGCGCAAAGAGCCTGTGCGAGAAGGGAGAGCAGAGAGGAAAGGGGAGGAGAGAATCAAAGCCAATCCGCTGGGCTGCTTCTTATGACATGACAACCACTGTGTGTGTGTGTGTCTCAGTGTGTGTGTGTGTGTGTGTCTCAGTGTGTGTGTGTGTTGGAGTCTGAGGCCTAGAAGCAGAGAGCAGAGAATGTCGCTCACATGAGGGTCGAGAGGAAACACAACTGGATTGTCTGTATCAACGCTGACCCTGACTCTGTTTCCTTTTTCGTTTTTTCTCATAGCAGGAGAGGTGTAGCCGATAAGCTCGGCCTGCATGATGTGGAAATCAGAGTGCTTGAGGAGTGTAGGCAGGCCTTGATCTATTCTTAAACTGACTCAGGATGAGTTACATTATATCCTGTAATTTTGAGGTCCGCTATAATTTTTTTTTTTGTGCGTGCAAAGAGGGGGATTTGCTGGCCTTCGCTCCAGATAGGGAGGTTAGCACGGCACGTCTGGTTGTAAATGGTTAAAATTACTACATATTGTATCTATGTGTGTATACGTATGCGCTGCGTGCTTAAATTATTGTATGTAAGGATGCAATTATGCATAAAAGCATATATTTACGTCGGGGTGTAAGCCTTAACAAGGCCGAGGGTTGGTCTGTCTGCCTCGTGTAGGTTGCTCAAACTTGGACGGACACCTTGTGCTACTCTAGAGTTTGTAGAGACTCTGTCACCTCCTCAGCCAGCATCAGCCTGCAGCGGTGGTAACAGTGATGGAGGAGGGGCAGTAGGCCATTGTTTTTGGACTGTCAGCCATGAACCCCCAACAGAATCCCCCACCCATGCCCCCTTGTGACTTGGCCTTCATAGAGCTACTCTGCCATTGTGTTTTTGTCTTTTGACATGTCCTATTTTTCGCCCTCTGTGTAGATAAAATTATCCATCAGCCACAACAAAACAGTCTAGTGAAGGCTTACTTGCATGATGCTGGATGAAAGGTCTCCTTGAAATCTTCCATTCCACCTTAATTATGAGGATTGCTAAACCTGGTGTCACTTTGTGGCCGATGACAACACCATGTTCAGATGTGTTTTTACACAGATCAGAGTCAACGATTGGTTTAACTTTTAATGCTCAATCTATGAAAAGCTAATGACCGATCAGGTCTTCACATCTTTCTGGAGCAAAGAGGACACACGGCTAACAGCATATAAGAAGTGTCGCTAGAAAAGTGTGTGTGTGTATATTTCCGTCTTGGGAAAAATGAGCTGCACGTATATCATTTTCTGGGATCGAGCATTGTTGCTCAGCGCTCAGATAGGCCGTGCTATCCTTGGCAGGTGCACCAAAGTGGCTGTGTCAGCAAGAGCCTTGAGAAAACAATTGAAGCAGTAGGATCTGCTCCCCGAGTCTGCTGTGTCAGGCCGGCCGCTGCCTGGGACTCCTCTTCCCTGCTCCTCTCTGGTGGCTGACACACTGGCTGTCACTCATCCCCTCGCAGCATTAGGTCCGTTGCCATGGTGTTGTTTAGCTCCGCTGACAGGTGGGCTCTGACGCCATCCCTTCCTCCCCCTCCTCCCACCTCCAGGCCACACGTCAAACGCTGCTCTTTCTCTACTCTGCACCAAAAATAATATGCAACGGGGGCCTGTCATTATCTCGTGGTTCGCCGGTGTGCCTGACTGTGCTCCCAGCGCAAATACGCACATTACTGATATCAGGGAGGGATTTGGGGACTCGTGCGCTTGTGTAATCCTATCCACCTTATTTCTTTGGAATGATAATGGGTGAAGTGCGACTGGAGATAAACATGCCGGTCATGTGTTGTCCTGTGGAGACGCATGATGACATTTGTATGTTGAGATGTTTTGTGTCTGAGCTCTTGTGTTTCACATGTATGGGAAAATCCCACTGAAATGTTGCTGACGACTCAGAAGAGGGGTTGCTAGGTAACCTGACGTCACAGGACTGCACTAGTGTATAGGGAGGTAAAGCAGGAGGCTAGCTCATTAGCTCTCCTGAGTAAGTGCCTCTTACTTTTGGCTACACCAGTCCAGATCTCAAGAAAATTTGATTGGATGAGAGCACAGCGAAGACTGTGTCTCTCTGTTTTGTAATGAACTGGACTTACAGTTTATCTCAGCTTCACACTGTTCAGCTCTGCTCTCATCTACTTGGTATACATGCTTATCTGCCAATATGTTTGCATGTGTGTACATAAGTGTGAGGGTTTACAGCCCAGATGAGAAAACCAAGAAGTTGTCCGTCTCTGCTTTCCATCCATAGAAGGAGCTGTTCTCGCTTGCCGGCCTCTAAGGTCAATTACATTCAACTAAATGTAGCTTCAAACTGTGGAAATAGTGTTTTTAAGCCTTATTTAGTAAAGCTTGTTTTTAGACATGGACATGTACGGTCTGATATTTAGGCACATGGCATTTATTTTCATCCAGACCAGTCAGCTTTTATAGCACTGTCCTTGCTTTTTAAGTTGAAAATGTCACTGTTTTTATTCGTCTACTCTCAGTTGTATTATTCTGTAATACTCTCAGTGCAGCTGATAATTGATGCAGAGCTGAAAAGCTCCAGTGAGGGTCGACACGTAGAGCATTTACCTCCTCTTTCTCACTCCTCTTTCATCTCTCTGGCCTGCGCTGGAGGTGCTTTTGTTAGCAGCCTTTTTTTTTTTTTTTCTTTTTCTAACATCCTCAAGGCCGCACTTTCCAAGAGTAGCGCGGCTGTATGAGTTTCTGTCTGTCTGGCGAGTGGATGTGTCATGGAGAAAAAGCTGAATGAGCAGGAGAAAAGACGCGCACTCGCCATTGTTGCCCAGCCACTCGAAAGGTGCGCGGCAGGTCGAGAGCTAGCTGGTGTTGCACGGCTCATCTGAAGGTGCTGCCTGCTGTAATGGACTCTTACAGATAGACCGTGAGATAAGGACACACTATACAGTCACGCTGAGCTGCACAAAGCGGGCCGCTGCAAACCAATACCGCGGTGTTCATTGTAATACTTACTCACAGGACCACTGCACTTGACATTGCTTTGGAAAGCATCGGAGTAACGTCTCATGGCTTTATGTTTTATTTGTAGGGAGCTGGAGTTTTCTTTTTTTTTTTTCTTTTGAGATAAAAAAGCCTCCGGAATAATTGTTTGCTTTGGAGCGATGTGGGGTTTGGCTTGTTGTCATCGTGTTTGCTGATGTGTCCGACGTCATGAGACACTACAGAAAAGGTCGCACCAAGGCTTTAGTCATTAATGTGCTGATTAGCAGATGCAGGCATTAAGGAGAGGATTGGAGTAGGGGGCGGGTTTCTGTCCATCAGTGTACTCTGAGCATTCTAATTCTCTATTCTCCAGTTCCCTCCATAGAGTGTGAGTCAATCAAATGCAAAGCAACTTTCACAACTTTGTCATGAGCCGCTTTTGTTAGAAACCATTGGCGCTTGTGACAAAAGACGCTGAAGCTTTTTGTCTCAGAGTTGGTAACGAAGAGAAAGCATGGTACCTCAAGTGGAAAACTGACTGGTCATATGGCACTTTCCATCCGTCACCGAGAACTTTGATGCCACTGAGCTGCCTCCTCGATCCAAATGCACTTCTTTGCTCTGCCAGCACCACAGATGCTCTCATTAGATGACCAGCTCATTGTTCCTCTGTATAATAATAGCAGTTCATATCTAATTAGCTGTCTTGCGTACTTGGGGTGCGAGGAAACAAACGGTGGCGTGTTGTCGCTGCAGGTACATCCAGTTCAGAATGGAGAAAAAGCAGCATGTGAGTGAGTGACAGTAAATCATGCATCTGGCTTTACTGTGTTACGAGAGCGTATGTTGGTGTAAATATTTGTCAGGTCAGCGTGTCATGTCACTCATGCAAAGGCAACAGAGGTGCATAGTAAACATGTTTCTGGCATTCGTCTGCTATTAAGTTTTTGCATCATCTGACTAAAAGAAAACCAAAATCCCTTCACTGCCAGCACAGGTGTGACGGAGACCCTCGACAGCGAATACCTGCTCCTTCTGCAGGCTGTGAGTTTTCCCTTCTAACCTGTCCCTTCCATCTGTGCTGTGTTCTCTATTGCTCCCTGCAGGTGAAGCTGATGAAATACATCTGTAAACAGCTGCAGTGCAAGCAGAAAGTGCCAGAGACAGAGAGGCCGGAGGCCCTCGACAGCTACCCACGCTTACGAGACTGGCTACGCACCATCAACCTGCGACCAGAGCTCACCGAGGTAGGTCAAGGCGTTTTTGTGTGAATGCCGAAGCTGCGGTCTGAGTGTTTGTGTCGTATTTACACGCGTTTGTTGTGTACTCGGTCCCTCGGATCACATGTGCACGAGGAATACCTCACCGGTGGCCATTAAGAGGCCTTTCTAATAGAGAGACTCCTTCAATGTTATGATCAAGGGATAACTAAAGCGACAAATCTCAACTGAAAATGATTGAATTTGAAAACTCTTTTTTTTTTTAGGTAGATTTTTTAACAGACAACCCACAAGGCTTGTACAGCCAGCAAAGTGACTGTTGATGTACTAGAAGATATGGCAGCCCTGGTTTAGACAAACTCACATTTGGAGCTAGAAAAATCTACTGATGCCATCTTTGTGCGACTGGAGAGCGCCTTTTATGCAAGTGTGTGAGGAATTTGACAAAACAAAATGTTTGAAAGTCTCACATGTCTTTATGAGAGTTCGGTACTGGTTTAATTCTGTCTTCAGCCAGATTGAAGGGAATTCTGGTCTTTTTTTTCCATGTACATTAAAATGAATCAGGTTGAAATAGTGCTTGATTTTCCTAAGGAACAGAAGCAATCTATTATCTAGAATGGTAGGATTTGATATCTCTATTTAAAGGAAAATCTTAATCAGAGCTGATGCCCTCATTTAAATGTTTTTGTGTCTGTGGTGTTACTCAGTAATCTTAAGCAGATATTATTTGCAGCATCATCTACCATCAGTAGCTTTATTATATGGGTTGCAGTAGAACCAGTGGCGGATCTGCCCCAGTTTGTAGAAAGGCTGTAAAAGGCGGCCTTCAGCCTGAGACCCTGAGTTAGATAATATATTAAATATGAGCTGGTCAACACTAACTGTCCTGCTCAGGGGTTGTGACTCTCACCAGCTAATCTGGACCCAACCCCGGTCTCTGACCTTCATGTGGAATCCTGCAGATAGGCTTCCTCATTTATACAAAAGTTTGTTCTGAAAAGAGGCCAGTTTTGATAATGAGGGAACCGGTCCCGTTGCTGTGTGCAGCTTCCTTGCTAGTTTGAGTTTCATATTCTAAGTTATGACTGTATTTAATTGCAGTTCACACATTTATGCCTTCATGTAAGGAAGCCAGAGTGTTTCTGCTCTTCAGGTCTTCTCTGTCACCATCAGGCTGATCATGCGACCACATCTCAAATATGCATTAGTTTCCTTTATTCTTTTATATATTTTTTTCCTTGTATGTTGCTCTAATTTCCCCCCGAGTCGCCTCCCTGTGCTGCTGTAAACTGTTTAATCCCTGTCAGCTACTGTATGTTTTTATTGTTCTGGTCCGTTTGTCTTTGTTTCGTGACCTAACTGTAACCTGCTTATTTTTAAATGTTTCTGCACTTGTTATTCTTTAATATGTCCTAAGCCGCTACGTGCTTTTATTTTTTTGTTTTTTTTGTTTTATGGCCTCGTTCCATATCTGATTATTTCTCTCGTGTTGTGTCTGTCTCGCTCGGTGCCGTTTGCTTCAGTTTAAACCTCATTTTCCTTCAAAGAATTCAGCTTTGTGCTGGAAAATATATTTATATATTTGCCAGAATAGTAAGCGTTCATTTGAGTGTCTCATAAACTGACGGGGATATCCCAAAAGATGTAGAGCTGTCATGGCATGTCGATGACCCATTTAGATCAAACATTATTAGATTGAGGATTTCTACAGTGCATCTCTTCCCTCTATACTGTGAGCGATGGAATTATGTAATGGATGGTCCGAAAACATTGCCACGATTGCGGCTAGATTATTATTATGATTTTTTTAAACCTGCTCCCATGCTTCAACACACAGGGAGCTATTGCATAATGTTATGCAGACATGAGGATCCCATATTAGCTGGGCTTCTTCAAAGAGCACGTGTGTTTCTGTGAACTGATTCAGTTTGCCTGTAGCTCTGCGAAGTCGCTTTATGTTCATTAACTCAGGGACTTCTTCTAAAACAAATATATCATGAAAGCAGTTTGAGCCAGGCCAAGATGAGACCATAAACATGCCAAAATTGTAAAATTACACCAAAAAAATGTTGGTTTTTCCCTCAAGTTTAACTTGGTTAACAATATGACTTAGTATATGAATTGAGCGACAGTGTGATGTTAATTGGCGTGCACACATGTGTAGTAAATCTAACCAGTAGTGCTGTACAACGGAGGCCCCTGTGTGTGAGCTATTCTGTTCATGGTGCTAAAATTGCGATGTTTGTTCCGAGGGACGAGGTGAGAGGGGAGCACAGGACCCACAGACACTTCTGAATCTCACACCACTCACTCTCGCTTGCGTGTTTTTGTGTCTCCGTGTGTGCGCTTCGTTTTGCTTATAGTGTACACACCAGTGTGGGAGGTTGCCCTAGTTTTGCGATCAGTGTTTGCCCTCTCAGAGCAAGGGTTTAACCTGACTGATAAGTGATTGCGTACTTCCCATGTGGGGGCGAAAAAACATCCTAAACTCACAGGACTGGGTCATATTTCCTTTGTGAGATCTATAAATTATAGTTTGTGCTGTTATTCTGCTTACTGTCCCAGTGAGTTAACATTAAACAAGTGGTACATCGCTCTGGTTTTTAGGTCTCCATCCATGCAGTCAGTTGTTCTGTCCTCATGAAAGGCTGATGCTCATGTTTGCTGTAATGGGTCGAAATGAAAGGAGGGTCCACATTCTTTACTGAGCGGGATGCGGTAGCATATGGAGCTTAAGAGCTCCTCTTCCATGTATGACCTATTAGCTTTAATAAACATCTAATCTAATATTTAGCTAAGTGGTCAATCAGAGTAAATCCAAATGTGCAGATCTGATGTAGGCTCACTTTGCTAATGCAACAATCGAACATGCAAACAGTGTTGTGGTAAAAATAAGCTACGGTAATAAAATTAAATATTTACACAATATATGATTAACCTGCTTTACAGATCATCTCAAGCATCGTCTTTTGTGTTTTTGCTGTTATAAATTACTTTGTTTCTTTGTTTTAAACTGTCTTCATACAGGCAAATAATTACACATAATACACATGCAACAATATGAGGACATTGGAGCGAAACATTACAAAAAAAGGAAACATAAAAACAACTTAACAATAAGCTAAATGCAAATAAGGACAATTAAAATTAGTACAATCGATTCACTAATTACAAAAATAATTTTAATTAAATTAATATACCGATATATTTACTAATTGAAATATATATACTGTACATAATGTAAATAAATGAGGTTATTTGACAGATAGGTTGTATTTAGAGATTGATATAATCCTAGTTTTAGGTAAAACTTTTTACCTTCATCTTATACAGGGGTTCTCTCATTTGCAATGTGGCAATAATTTTTTCCAAACCAAAATTTTTTTAGCAATGTATCCCTCAAAGAAACAAACAACAACAAAAAAATGTAATTCCTATTAGTAAACAAAAAACAGACAAACTGCATTTATATGTGCGCAATGTAACATAAATGTTCAGTGGCTTCAGCTAATCTTGAATATTGCTCCACAAACTTGCAACATATGGACAATAGGAAAGCAAATGCAGCTGGCCTTCCCCTTCCCAAATGGAATTCCCCCTATTAATTCAGACAATGCTTGTTTTATCCACCTAATCTCAATTCTGATTTGGACACTGCTTCACTGTTTGCCACTTTTAAGCCTCCGCCAGCATCCTGTCGGGCCCTCAGAAGTGTTGCATTTGTGTATATTTCATTCATTAAGCGATCAAATATTTGACTCACTCATTGTGTCTGCGTGCCTCCGTTGCTTTATACATTTAATTTTAGCTGCATGTACGGCTGCAAAGCAAAGCAGGTTGGAGAGATTCATTTGCTTTGGCTGTCATTGGCCACCGTCCCTTCATGAGTAGGAGGATCAGTCCATGTCAACTTGTGTAATTCTGACTATCAGCTGCTGGGTGTTTCTCTCTCTGTGTCCTTCTACGTTCTCTAATAAACTATGTTCTCCTATTTAATTCCTTTCTAGCCACTAGTGCTGCCCAGTCTGCACCATGTTGTGTGTACATTCTGTTGTTGCGCGTCTTTACTTCCTGGTTTGCTGCTGTACAGATCACACTGTATAAAACATTGCAGCAGGAAAAACATGAATTAGTAGGCATTAATTAAATCCAAGCTTGCTCTTGAAGGTCTTGCATCTCTGTTTAGTCCCAAACTTGGTCTTGAGCTTGCTAAGGTGTTCTGGACTAGATGGAGATTTCAGGCCCGTGTCCTGTTTTAGGTTTTTGTGTTGTTATTGTTTGTTCTCCGTGCTCGTAGTAAAGCGAACAATCAGATAAGCAGACAAAGTCGTGTTTGGAATTCCCCAAACAAACAGGATTAACGCAGATTTCCAGGAATAGTGCATGTCAAAGGTTGAATGACCTGTAACGTTCTGCCCTTTCCACGCTGACTTTCAGTCTCACAACAAGCCGCAGTGTCGAGAACCACTACAGTGTAAAAAGACTTGCAGCAGAAGCTGTTGTTTTGTTTTGATGTTGTACAAGTCTTTTACACAATCTGTTTGCTTTCTTCTGTGATGTAAGCTCCTCTCTCGTACGTCCTGTGTGCTGCTTTTGTTTTTCCTTCTTCTGTGTGATTGTTGAACATCTGCCACCTGTTTGTCTTTGTGTTGCCCCTCTGCAGGCTGTAGAGGCCAAGTTGTCGCTGGATGCTTTACTGCAGATGTCAGGTGCTCAGGTGAGAGATACGATGCGAAGACTAGGGTCCAGTTCAGAGGAACGTGCCAGGCTCAGTGCTGCCCTCTCCTGTCTGAAGAGCGCCACTGAATCAGGTATGTGTGTATTGGAGCCTCTGTGATCAAATGCAAGTCCTTTTTTTTGTGTTTACTCATTTATTTTTGTCTGATTCATCTCTCTGGCAGGAGGTGAGCTGAGGGAAGACAGCAGTCCCTGGTTGTCTGAGCCCACCAGGAGGGACAGTGGCTCTCTACTGACCGCAGACCAGCTCAGCAACCTGGGGACGCCGCTCCGCCCTCACAGCCCCTCGCCTCTCGCCCGCCCATCCACCATCCAGTCCACCCCATCCACCCCCTGCGCCACCTTCCCTCATCCCCGCTCGGGCTCGGTGTCGGCGGTGCCCACACCGGACGCGCTGGCGTGCCACCTCCACGGCGACAGCCCTCTCACCGATCCGTTCCCCATGTCCTTCGCTCGCACGGCCCGGCTCCACGGACGCACCTCCACCCCGCCCATAACCCCGCCTTCAAAGAGACGGCACCGACTGAAGCCCCCCTGCACCCCTCCGCCTCCGTCCCGCAAGGTGCTGCATCTGCTTCCCAACATCACTCTGACGCGCAGCAAAAGCCACGAGTCCCAGCTGGGCAACCGCATCGAGGATCCTCCCACCAACAAGTAGGTGCCGAGCTAAAGCCGTGCGCACTGACGCGCTGTTATAGAATTCACCTTGTCAACCGCTTTTCATAAGTAGGTCAGATTAGAACTAAATGGGAATCCTCAGATGGCATTGTAATTGTGACAGATTGCCTCTGTTGCTTTGTTAACGCAGGCTTAGGCATCGGGGAGCGTGGGGGAAATGTCCTGAGAGAGGAGAGCTGCAGTGTCTTTTAGTTAGCTGGAATGTGATTCTTTCCAAATGGAAAAATTTGCTGCAGTTATGATGCTCTATTGCTAAGAGATAAGATCTGAATCCAAGATCTGAATCATTCTCAGAGACATAAAGTATCCTTATAGGAAAGTCTTACAACTCAGAAGCCATCTTGGTACCCCCTTCCCCCCTGGGCGGTAATTTCAGGCTAACAAGATCAGGCTTCCATTCAGTTTAATGGGGAAAGAGCTGTAACGGCAATTCCAATGGTCACTGGGACATAAAAGCTGCATGTACAATAGGGCTGCCCAGTATATCGTTTCAGCACCGACGATGCAATACGCGCATGTGCAACAGTTACATCACAGGAAGTGCAATAAGAAGTCAGGAAAGTTCACTCAAACACACCATGCTGCTGCTTCCTTTGCTGCTCTGTACAAAAACAAAAGTCACACAGTTCCATGTGCCATTAATAACAAACAGGAGAAATCTGTCTGATAGAACATCATTTACTGATTTAAGGCTTCTTGGATACACAGATTTTTAAATTTTTTTTTATTTTTTGACACACAGGCTGCATATGTGAACAGCAAACTGAGCCAAAAACAGGAGAGAAATTCTAAAAAAGGAAGATTTGGTTGCAAAAAGAAACACAATTTCAGTTGTATTTAAATATTTCAGGTACAGAAAGGATGATTTTGACCAAAAACAGGTACTGTGTCTGTAGTGTGTTACACTGCACAAGGCAGCACCACACAGTTGTGTTATGACGAGTGCAAAGCCAGATATAGAAGCTATGCCAAGCAAAAAAACACAACTAGTTTGGTTTCTTTTTGCCACATCTTATTTTTTGATCTTTTTTTTAATATCTGATGCTGATGCACTCCCCTCAAGTCATTCTCCATTGACTCATACTTTTCAAATACAGTTATTCAAGTAATTTGGTGAAAATTCTTGTGTTTTTTTCCCCAATTTCAGGCAGCCCTGATACAGATCATCAGACAAATATGGTTATAAAATGCTTAAAATTGGCTGCCTTTTCCCCCAAATAAGTGCAAATAACAGGTGTTTTCCCTGCAGCTTCAAGTCTGCTTACACAGTTTCACAACGCTTGTTTCAGTGCAACAACACAATGGGCTGAATGTTTCCTGGTCTGGCGATTACAAACCAGATGACCGGCGTTATGTGTCACACAAATGTCATCTTCAGCATCATGAACGATTTTCCGAGAGATGGAATTTGCCAAGAGCCTTTTACCCTTTAATTCCCCTGGTTGTTTGTACTACCAGTAAAGCTGCTGCTAATTTAAAACTGATGAGTTGATCTAAAATGAACACAAAATGAACTGATGACCATTTTGATAATTCTTTATCTTCACCAACACAACTGGCAAGCACTATCCAAGTGTTTTAAGACAAAGGAGTTCTTGGCACGTCTTATTCACGAGACAGGTGCGTAGGAGACAGACAAGCGTATCTGAAAGTTTTCAAATATACTCCCGCACACTGTCTGTCTGGCTTTGCAGAAATGCATTGATTTGCAACGTTTTGGTGTTAGACCTTTCGTCTGGCACAAAGAGAAGCCAGTTTGGATAGGGAGTGCCGCAACCAATGAGCACTGCACACATAGGGAAGGGAGGCATGAATGAGAAAAACAAAATAGCTCCATGAACTGTTTACAAAGAATACGTTAAATCCTATGATATGAATGCTTAAACTTCCACAAAGGCCCAAATCTTTGCCCTATTAAGCTCTAGCATTCAGACATTGTGAATAAATCTAAGTGCTGCCATCTTTCTAAAATGTTACCTCGGTACAGTCTTCCAAATCTTTCTCCAAAATTGTAATTTGTGTTTATTTTATATTCGAGAGAACACTTCTGTTACGCAAAAAACGACTCCAAACTCAAAACATCTGCGCGATGTCTCGTTCTCATTTCAGTCTCATGTCAGGACAGAAGCAGCTTTCCTCAGATAGGCTCACATTCGCTCTCTCACATCCTTTCACATCGAGCCTGTTGCTCCTTTGCTCTCACTGTATGAGTGGAGCTAATCCCCGCACAGATTCCCAGAGATTATGAGTCATGTCAAAACAGGAAGCATTTCCTAGGTCTAATGCTCAGAGGTGGCAAGACACACAATCTCTCTCTCTCTCTCTCTCTCAGTCATTTTCCCTCTTCCTCTCTCTCTCTCTCTCTGTTGTGATTAGGTGCACATACACAAACAAGCCTCATGTTTATCCATAATATCCTGTCTGGTTTTGGAAAACTTTATTGGAGGGGGAAAATAAAAAAAATAAAAAAATCTGGCAAAGGCAGAAATAAATGCGGCTGACATAGATCCAGAGCAGCTAACGCACACCCAGATGATCCTGCTAGTTTATCCTGACTTTGTACAAACTCCACGGTTTGTTAGAACAGCAATCTGAAAACAGGTTGCAGGTCTGCTAGTTGTCTGAGCAGAACTCGGCATGAAATTATACAAATGGATCCTTTTCTCAAACGGGGATTTGTCACATGTGCACGTGCGCTTAAAGCACAGAGCTGGCACCGCTCGACGCTTCGGTCCTTGTGACTTGTGTCTGGGTGTTAAGGATGTCACCCTGGTTATCCTGTGCCAGGACTATTTAGGTACTCCAACGTGCCGCTCTCTGCTCCTTACATAACCTGTCCTGTGCTGTGTAGTAAAGCAAAGCAAGAGATGCTGCAGAGCTGCTGTGCTGTAAACTCTCCTTTTTCTTACCTACTGGATCTGCTCACGCTTGGATTTATTTATTTTGTTGCCATGTTTCTCTCCAGGTGTGTTAAAAAGAATAAGCTGTTCCTGAACATGCAAGTGAACGGGAACGGCTGTGAGGACTCGCCTTCTCGTTACCCCGTCGTGTCTGCACGGACGCCTGGGGTCACCCCGGTCGCCACCACAGCTTCTTACACCCTCCCTGGAACGCCCACCCTGCTGGAGGAGCACAGCACAATTAAGAGTGAGTCATTTGCACGTGTTATGTATCGATGATAGTGCTCGACAAATTTATTAGACCACCACTCAGTGTAAGGTTTATATCACAGCTGCTCTAAAATAACAGCATTGGTAATTACCAAAATCATTTCTTATGTTTCTGTTATGGTTAACACACCAGTTTGTAGAAACTCTTTAACTGAAATTACATTTTTAATGCTAAAATATAATTATTATTGTTATCTGTCAATTTTCAGATTTACTGGTTTACAAAAAAATCTATTATTTCTTGATTAAGAAGTCAAATATTTACTTGCATTTTTGTTTTAGTGGTTGAATGTTATGCTTCATTACTTTGACTTCTCAGAGAGTCGGCTCACATTTGGGTATAAAAAGGTGAATTCAGTTTCCTCATTCATGTTCAAAAAGGTAAAACACTGATAGCTGAGTGCGCATTAAAGCACATTAGACAGGTGGTCTTAATAACTTTGTTAAGCACTGTACATGTTGAAGACATAACATTGTGGACTACATGATGGTGTCTATCCAGTATGACTTGTCTAATAATGCTGTTATTGGTTTGGTTGCACAGTGGGATCTGGGAAATGACTGTTCTCATCTTTATTCAGTGTGTATTCTTGTGCAAACTTGTCTGTTTGGGATTGAATGTGACCAGAAGTTTTCATTTCTGCATCCTGTTTTAATGACACATTAAAAATAGGCAGATGTGGCTTTTTTATTGTACATTTTCTCACTGGTGTCCCCACATTAGATACCAGTCTTTCTCAACCACCACCTTCTTCCTTCTTTCTCTCTCTAGATAATGTAGCAGTGCATCGCAGTTCCCCACAAGCAGTGAGGAGGGACATAGGTCTAGCAGTCACGCACAGGTAGATCTTTCTTTTACAAACTATATATTTTATCCTTACTAAGCTTATCTCACAGTAAAGCAAATAAGCTCCATTTTTATTTTTTTGTAATAAATTGCTGACTAACAGTAGCTCTAATCCAATCCTGGAGAGCTAACAGAAGCTGTTTTGTTTGTGCAGGTTTTCTACCAAGTCCTGGTTGTCCCAGACATGTCAAGTGTGCCAGAAGAACATGATGTTTGGGGTTAAGTGCAAACACTGTCGGTGAGTTGAGTGCTTTCTATTTAAAGGACACTTCGCTCAACTTTGACTATTTTTGTTGCTGTTGGCGGAGACGGTGAAAAGGTAGCACGAGAAAGCCGAGTCAGGATTTGTTCCTCGACTGTGTGATTTTTTTAGAGGCGCTCCTTGACTGGAGTTTCGTCCACGCTAGTGCACATTTTTGTTTAGAAACTCATAACTTTTATAACGTTTATGTCTGGCGTCTACGCTACTCCAACATTTTAGGACCTCTGAAGTGGGCAAGCGTGAGACCATGATGTCCATGTTTGTTTTCAGATTGGGTTTATTAGTCCTCGTACTCCACCATAAATGTGACATTGTTTTATTTAGCTTTTTATAACCTACCACTGTATTTCATGATATCTGTCAGACGAGCTCAACAGTGTTCATGGTAACTTATTTTTTTGTTTTTATTTCAATGAAGAAGAGAATTGTGGCTCACAAATGAGAACTACGCAAATGAAGAGCGACATGTTTTATAATCGAGTGATATACATTTTAAACACACGCGTCACTCCTGCTCCTTTATGTTATGGGTCCTTGCTCGTAGCTCCTCAGACAGGCCGCCTCCATCCTCCAGTGTTAGGAGTTTAGCATCATTTGTGATGGTGCACCAAGATTGATTTCCAGGTCACGAATAGGAGGACAGAGGAAATTAGTAAAACGTTGAGTCTCATGTGTCCTGTCTTGATTCAGCTATCATCTGACCCTTTTTTTGTTTTTTTGGAGGATAACACAGACATCTGCCTACCAGTGGTTCATTCCATACAAATAATGAATTGCTTTCCAATAACAGTTCCATCTAGTTTGAAATCTCTCGTCTTCATTTTCACCGTTGCGGTTCCTCTTTCAAGCCCCATTTTCTACAACTAAGCGATCAACCATCTACTGTCTGTTTACACCTGCATCACTCAGTGGTCATGTGATGTGTGTTTTCAGGCATGTTTGTATAAACGGAGGTTGTTTCTGCACACAGATCCTTTTTCATTTTAAAATGGCATTTTTGTATTCGTGTGGATGGAACTGTAATCTTGTTCTGGACTCGACAAGTGTTCTCGCTGCCACATGCTAATTGGTACCAAGAATCTCATGTGCTGCCCACTTTCTGTGCAGATTAAAGTGCCACAACAAATGCACTAAGGAAGCTCCATCCTGCAGAATCTCCTTTCTACCAAGTGAGTTTTGTTTCATCCTCAGTCCGCAGTTGATGAGCGCCAGCTATTTTGCATTCACGCACGTGTGATGTTATCAATTTCTCCTGCAGTCACCAAAATTCGGAGGACGGAGTCAGTTCCCTCTGATATAAACAACCCTGTGGACCGACCGTCAGAAGCGCCGCAGTTTGGCACGCTACCAAAGGCCATTACGAAAAAGGTAAAACGGAGGAGTTCTGCATTACAGCGAATATTATCTAAGCCGAATTGAAATATTGTCAGATTAATTAATATGATACTATGATATGAGCTATGCAAGAGCCACTCAAGTGGCAGACTAGAGCCTCTTCATTGGCACTTTATGAAAATGAAGGCTTTATTTGTCAGATTTCCCGTCACACAGATAACCAGAGTTTGTTTTAGAGAGAAAAGACAAATAATTCCTCAAGTGATTTTTGTCATCTGCTCTTCAGTCTCACCACCATCTGCTCTTGCGTAACATTGCAAAGATAAGCAGTGCTCTCCCAAATGTTATGCTTTCGAGTGCTTTTTCTTGCTGCCATAGTGCAATCAAGAAGATTTAACTTGAAATCGTGTCTGATTGCTACAGTCGCAAATGAAAGTAAAAACAAAGCGGTGGGATTGTAAAGGTGATCTTAAATGATATCACGTCCCTTCCTGTGCCTCCAGGATCATCCTCCGGTGCTCAACCAGCTGGACTCCAGCAGCAATCCGTCCTCCACCACCTCATCCACACCTTCCTCACCGGCACCCTTCCAGCAGAGCAACCCCCCCAGCGCCACTCCGCCGCCCAACCCGTCACCCAAAGGCCACCGGGACAGCCGCTTCAACTTCCCAGGTGAGTTTATGCACAGGAGGGGAAATCTACAACTGTAGTTAGCCAGACAAACACTGACAAACAGACTGAAATGTGCCCCGTAGCGCTGTTTTCCTGTTTAATAATGTGTAATAACATATTAATAATAGTACAAAGCTGACACACACTTCTAACCTCCTTCTATTTCTATAAATGCTACTAACACTGAGCTGTGCTCTTAATTCAAAGCTTCTCTAACCAAGAGTTTCTCTCCCCGCCACACTTCTCTGTCTTTTCCTCCTGTCTTTTTTTTTTTTTTTCCACAAAAGCTGCCTGTTACTTTCAGCATAGACAGCAGTTTATCTTCCCCGGTGAGTTGACTGTCCCATAGTGTCGTAATACATTGTTGCCATCCCATCATCCCACTGTGCAAACCTTTGGATCTCCTGCAGCTTTCTATGTCTCCTAAATGTTTGTTTGCCTGGTTATCTTTCACCGTGTCTGCACTGGGATTGTAAAGTAACGCGTTGACGCCATCTGCTGGCAGTCGTGGGACATTGCATGGTCGTGTTCTGTGTGTGGTGAAGGTTTCCTAACGGTAGCAGGAGAGAAAAAACAAGGAGGACAGAAGTTGTGGTCTTTAGCTTCCTGCTTAAACCACTTTTTTTTTTTTTTTTCCTTTACAGATGTTTCCAGTCCTGTAAATTTGCACTCTGATGTCCTCCAAGACACAGTGTAAGATATTTCCGTTTTGCAATAGTTTAATAATTCCGTTTTTTCTTGCATTCAGCCTCCTCTGATATGACTTTTCTGTGTCACAGCAATGAGATAGAGCAATCAGCGGATGACATACATGCTGAGCTGGTAGAGGATGAAGACGAAGAGGTGATTACTGTTTTCTTTCAGTCTTCTCTGACTGTGAGGCTGCTCAGAGTCATACGCATGAAATGTATCGTACATTATATTCTGTTAAATTTTTGGAGACTGATACCGTCATCTGTCCAAGAAAACTGGCCGTGGTAGTCTGTAACTTTTTACTCAAGTCGACGTACTTGTACTTAATTATTTCTTTTTACTTACCACTTTTAGAATTCTTCTAGGCTTTATCACAGAAGAAAATACTTTTAACTCCACTACATTTACCTAAAAACGTTCCACAAAAAGAAATGCATGCCCTTCCTATTCAGTAAAAAAACCCAAATGTGGACATTTTAAACATTTCTGATAAAAGAATAAAGTGTTTCTGTATTGTATGCGAAAATTCTCCTGCATCTTAGGCCAAATAAACGTTTATATCTCTTCTTGCATTTGCTGCAAAATCCATTCACAAAGATGAAAAGTTCCCACAGCACAGCAATGCTTCAAACATGTGACAATTTTATGGAATATAATGCTTTTCTGCAGATTAAACTAGTCTAACAGTATGTAAAGGAGTCCAAATTTGCACATCTACAGCAATAGAGTGCAACACACACATCATAAATAACAATAAAACAGTGAAAGGACACATTCTACTGCAGAATAAGTGCACTGATATGTACATTTTGTCAATAACATCGTTTTACTGAAGTAAGTTTTTAAAATGCTGCAATTTTTCGTGTGTTGTGGAATATTTATTTTTATTTGTACTTAAGCAAAGGACGTCAAAAAAACATAAGAAAGCTGAATTTATGGACAGAAAGACTTCATTCATGTGCTACATTTGTTTATTAGATTGAATTGTAATGTGCTAGGGTTTTTATTGTATTCATTTGATCATCATCTGAGACAACCACACAAATGTAAAGGCAGAGAACAAAAAACAACACTTCAACAAGTCAGCGGTGGTTTCCACTGTACAAAACAACCCATCATGTGCTGTTACAGGAAGGGGATGAGGACATTGAAGTTGAAGATGAAGACCCTGAAGCAGAAGACGAGAATGACGAAGAAGATGATGAGAACGATGACGAGGGGGAAGATGACGACGAAGACGACGAGGATGACGACGACGACAGGGAGGAGATCAGGATGAACGTGTGCTCAGACGGCGAGTGCGACGAGCTGGATGATCTGCCCAGCTCTCGGGGAAACCAGTGGAAAGGCCCCATCTCCCGCAAGGCCAGCCAGACCAGTGTCTACCTGCAGGAGTGGGACATCCCGTTTGAGCAGCTGGACCTCGGAGAACTCATAGGAAAGGTGAGGAACGTGACTTACAGATGAATCCTGTGTTGTACTCTGAGGGAGCACAGCTGTAATTAGTTTGTTTTTTCGTTTATTCAGGGCCGCTGGGGCAAAGTACATAAGGGTCGGTGGCACGGTGAGGTAGCCATCCGACTTCTTGAGATCGATGGGAACAATCAGGACCATCTAAAGCTGTTTAAAAAGGAGGTGATGAACTACAGGCAGACCAGGCACGAGAACGTGGTTCTGTTCATGGGGGCCTGCATGGCTCCACCCCACCTCGCCATCATCACCAGGTGAGAGCAGAAACACCAAACACGCCTCCGACACAAATAAATATGCTTCGCTCAATAAGATCTTTTCATTCTCTTCTTGTTCCATTACAGTTTTTGCAAAGGAAGGACGCTGTATTCGGTTGTTCGAGACACTAAAAACACTTTGGATATTAACAAGACGAGACAAATCGCTCAGGAGATCGTAAAGGTATTTACTGACTTTTATATTTATGCATTTGGAAGAATTCAGACCATCATTTAAAGATGCAACGTATAGGATATCGAGTATAAATATAGCAGAAAAATACCAGTAATGCCTCTGTTTGCCTCCTGATGCAGGGAATGGGCTATCTGCACGCCAAAGGCATTGTTCACAAAGACTTGAAATCAAAGAACGTTTTTCACGACACCAATAAAGTCGTGATCACAGACTTCGGGCTGTTTGGGATCTCTGGAGTCGTTCAGGAGGGGAGGTAAGAAACGCCACTCGAGAGACTTTAAAAACACAACCTCAGCTAAAGTAGTGTTCGCACCACACTGCTATTACCTGGAGAGGTCCAGTGATTTGTAATAATTGCTGAGGTCCACAGTGGTAGTCCTGCAGGCATCCATCTCCCCTGTCAGCCAGCATTTTTTATGTCTTTTTTTTTGCAAAGACAGAAGACTCCCGATTGTAAATTTCAGAGTTATTTTCTTCACCCTCTCGTTGTTTGAAGTGCGTTTTTGAACATACAGCTGGCTAATTTTTTGCTCTCGCTTCGTTGTGTGATTTCATGAAGGGCGCTTTTGTAGTTGGGAGTTGTGCTGCATTTAGTTAATGCATTTTCCACTCCGGTTAATGGATCTTTCCACTCAGATTTTCCAATCCATTTGATTCGTTACCGAAAACCGTGCCTTTTATTCCAGGCGGGAGAATAAACTAAAACTTCCACATGGCTGGATTTGTTATCTCGCGCCAGAGATTGTGCGTAGGATGAGCCCAGGTAACAACGAGGACCGCCTTCCATTTTCCACCGCGGCGGATGTGTACGCCTTCGGGTGAGTCCTGCACACACACTTTGTTAATTTAAGTTTAAGCTCTTGTGACCTGTTTCTGACTGAGAATAGAGGTCACCTTCTGACAGAATAATCACTCTTCTCCTTCACCCCCTCACTTGAAGCACGATTTGGTATGAGCTTCAAGCTAGGGACTGGCCAATCACCAACCAGCATGTGGAAGCTACCATCTGGCAGGTGGGGAGCGGAGAGGGCATAAAGAAGGTTTTGGCGGAGATCAGCCTGGGCAAGGAGGTCACTGTGAGTGGTGTTTCAGTCATTCACAAAAGCAGATGTTTATTCGGCTTGTATAATCATGCTCTAGTGGTGCAGAGATATCAGGATGTTGCGAAACTTTTTCAATCATAGTCCACGGTGCAGTGAGTGCATGAGTCGGTGCTTTGCCAGGCGCATTGAACCTGAGCGGTTTCCTTCCTCAGGAGATCCTCTCTGCCTGCTGGGCGTACGACCTGAGAGAGAGGCCGACCTTCACCCAGCTGGCCGACATGCTGGAGAAGCTGCCCAAACTCAACCGCAGGCTGTCGCACCCCGGACACTTCTGGAAGTCTGCAGAGTAGGTATCCTAGAAATGGAGGAGGATGTGAAGACACTGGATACGTGAAAACCACAAAAAAATCTATATTTCTAATTGTGTATGTTCTTGTGGTACAATGTTCTGTCAGCGATGATCCTCTTAGTCTTTGATTCCAAACTCAAAACAATATGAGATTGAAGCAGAGTTGTTTTCAGCCTGATGGTCGCACAGACTTATTTATGTATAAATAAGATTCATAAATGGGTATTTGTCTGATATAAATTGCACTTTGTCACCACAACAAAGCAGAGCTCCTCTCGGCTCGGCTGTTGCTCGCTCTCAGACGAAATGTGAACTTCGTGGTGTATATATGTAAATGTGACTTTTAAAGTTTAATTTATTCTTCGTCACACAATGCTCTCGTCTGAAATGACGCGGTTTTGACAGTAAAAGGTGTCACGGGGCTTAACCGTCACTGTCTCATATATGTAGAGTTTTGATATGTGAGCAGCAGACTGTGGCGCTGTAGCGGGTTGTTGTCATAGCAATTTATAAGTTCCTTACAAACAAGGCTGCCAGGGACGGGACGAGTGACTTTTACGACACAGACATAGAGTTGCACACTTCTTTAATCACTTTACTTGCTGTCACCTAGGTATAAATTAGGGGCCAACTGAACTTTTTCAGGACCAGTACTGATTATTAGTCATCAAGGAGAGCTATCATTGATGTACATCTGCAGCAAAAATGAAAATCGTGGCATCAAAGTTTAAAATAACCCAAAAAAGGCCTTTTGTTTATTTATGCTTTAACTAAAAGAGAGCTTTAGTGTTGATAGTGACTATAAACAGGCTGAGGTGGCAGCATCAGAGCCTACACAGTGCTTTGAAAACTTTAATCTGTTAAAGAGGACATAATGGTACCAGTAATGAGAAAAAATGCAGAAAATCAAATCCAGTAATCAGCCAGACCCATAACTGGTTGAGTTTAAATCTGGGACATGCCGTCTGAAGTTTAGAGTAACAACCCAAAGTTCCAAACCCAGTTGTACAAAAAGTAGAGTTTTGTGAAAATCATTTGCTCCATAATCCTGCACATTTCTGCACCACATTGGATTTCATCATCTTTCCAACTCAGACCAGCTTTTCCACTTCACGCATCTTCTGTTTTATCTACATGACTTCATCACGGCTCCACTGCCACGCCGCGTTTCCCACTTTTCTCTGCTTTTTTTTATCTTGTGTTTATTTTATTTTTTTCCACACACCTTTATTGCATTTGCTTCAAGACTACTAGTAGTCGAGGGCTTCGCTATTGATCCTCGTACGGTTAAATGCCAGTTCCACACAGCTGGTTGACATTACGACAGCAGACACACCAGCAAGAAAACAATCCAAAGCTCGGTCATAAAAGGATCATAAGATTATGAAACAATTCCTTTGTTGACTTGAACTAATCTACATGTGCGTGTGTGTCAGATATCTTGCTGCTTTTCAAATGATGCTTTGTTTTTCTCAATGTAAGCCTGTTAAAACTTTCACTAACCGTCTAACGTTTGTGTTTTCCTTTTTGCTCTTTTCTCCCCCTTTTGTTTCTGTTTCTCTTTTCTAATCTAGGTTGTAGCAGTCGCTCTGAAACATAAGCAATGCAAAACAAAAACAAACAAACAAAAAAAAAAGCCTGGGTCTGCCTTGCATGCTCCTGAATCCTTAACTCTTACGGGATTGATCAAAAGCATTGCCTCTGCCTGAAACAAGGCACTGCTTCCACTAATCCACAGTCTGATCTTCCATGTCTAACCAGTTTTTCTTGTTCGGAGGAGAGGATCGGTGGACCGAGCTGTGGCAGGCCGGGGATGGGGGGTGGGGGAACGGCCACCGGCCAGCTCTTTCCCCCCTCCATCCTTTCTAATATCTCCCTTTGCCTTCCCTTTTTTTGGTTTTGTTCATTCGGGACTCATGAATAACTGGCTTGTGGTGTCTATGCTGGGACTGACTGGTGCGCTGTGGTCTGTGCCTGCTGATGGCTGCCCTGTCCTCAGCCTCCTGCTCACCTCCTTCTTCTGTGCTGCTGCGATGTGGTTGTTCTCCTCGGGGGGTCCTGACCACATGACTCTTTTTTTTTTTCCTTCCCCCCCCCCTCCGCCTCTTTCAAACACACACATATAAACACACACCGCTGGACATAAAATGGACCCTACGACCAAAATGGACCGCTTCATTTATCTACGTTTTCCCCGAGGGTTTTGACACGCGTGTTGACAGGCTGCTTGAGTGATGCTCTCAAACCGACTGCCTCCTCTTCCCTTCGGTTTCGTAAAAAAAAAAAAAAGGGTTGCGTGACGGCATGTGCGGAGATATTCGCCAGCCCGTGTCTAGACGCAATATGCACTTTGTCAGCAGGAAAAAAAAAAAACATAAAATCATGAACTCTTTATTTTTTGTGTGTGTGATTTAGTTTGGGTTTTGAATGGTCATATTTGCAGTGTTTTATTTTCTCTTCAGGAGAGGCTTGGGCAGAGTGATGATGATGTGTGATACATGTTGTCGGTTTTTGGAGCGTAATCTGGTAAATTCACTGTTTAATGGACGCATTTGAGAACAGGGCACTGATGAGGAGTTGCTCAACGACAAGGGAAGTGAAAAGAAATAGGGGAAATCAACACAGGAATAGAATACTACTGGCTATTTATGATTAAAAACTTCTTCTTTTTTTTTTGTTCAAATAATAATGTCCATCTGTTGAAGTGTAAAGTGCACCTTAAAAGAATATGAGTTACTTCTTTCAAGGAGTTGAGTGAGTTCATTCTCTGCGCAAAAAAAAAAAAGATAAAGATAAATCAGGAAACTGGCGCAAAAGTGTCCTATATCTTCCTTAAACAGTACCTCTCGTGCGCGCTTGTGTTTACCGTTTGTGGTTGCTGGCTTCAGTTGGCGTGCTTGTATTTATGTGTTTCGTGTGGGTGCACGTGCGACTGAGTGAGCGTACTGTGTTGGAACATGTAGGGTTTTTTTTTTTTGTTTGTTTCTTTTTTTTTTTTCTTTTGTCGAAGATTGCAGTAAATGTTGTGTTGCAAATCCAATGGTATGTAATGTACATACATTATTTAATGTATAGCAAATTAACATTGATTCTTCTAATATTTGTACAAACATTTTATATGTAAAATACATCACGACATTTTTGAATAGGTACTGCTATGGCTATTACAGATGTGTATATATATATATTTATATTTTTTTCATGTATAAAAAAAAGGACTGTATAAAAGCTGTACAATTTTTTAGAATGGGCCAATACATGTTTTTTATGTTATTGTAAAAATTCATATTTTTGTATTGCATGTGATTACCATTCTGTACACGCAGTTTCTGTTTTCATCCATGGAAGACAATAAAATGAGGCTTGTCATGTAACAACAGAGTAGGTAGTCTTATTGTATTGCAGCTGATATAACAAACGGAACCCATCATAGCAGACATTATAAGTAGATATCATATTTGAGCATTAGTATAAAGTTACTAAGCACATTTACTCAAGTCCTGAAGTACAATTATGAAAAACTTATGAAGGGAAATACTGGACTTTTTACTCCACTACATTTATCTGACGGCTTTTTTTTAATGGATAATATATCAATAAATTAAAATGCAACACATTGTTAAAGATTAAAGCAACAAAGCAGAGTGTAGTCTGGGTCACATTTCAGATGTTAACAGCTTTTTAATTGTGATTTCTTTAGTTTCTTCTTGCACGGTTTCATTCCAGTTAATGTTTAAGTGACCGTTTAACGCTACAAGAATCAAAAGATGGAGGAAAAGGAAGATTAGATATAGATTTGTTTGTCAGAAATAATGTTTTTCCTCTTTCCTCTCATATCTATCTGGCGTCCCACTATGTAAAACTATAGATAAAGTAGTTCAAACTGGTTCCACCTGCAGCAGATACATTATCATGCTGCTGACACACTGATGCTTCGTTATTATTAATCTCATCGTGTCATTTATATTCTACCATATCAGTCAGAAGAACCAAACCAGAACTTATACTTTACTGCATTTTGGTACTAATATTGCTGTAGTCCTACTAAACTTACTTTTAACTTTTCTGTATTGATGCTTTTACTTTAGTAAAGGATCTAAATACTTCTTCCACCACTGCAGTTCCAGTATGCACTGCAGGCGTATGATAATAATTTGTGTCAAATTAGAAAGATTATTATGAACTTGTGCTAAAATGTTTTACGTATACATAGGAAATAATTAGCAAACAGAAGAAATGTGAAAATGATATAAAACTTTCTTCAGTTTACACATAAAGGCTAAATCACATGTTCAAGTTTTTCAATAGTTACACATGATTTCATTCTGCAGTCTCTACCTCAGCATATAAAATAATGTAAACTGCACTAAACAATCAATTCAGCCTCTAGCTCGAGTTGGTTTACATCAGGCCTTTAACAAGTGTGTGTGAGAGATTAAGCCCTTTTGACACTGGAATGATTTTCCAGCCTTTTAGTTGCCAGAAAAACTCTTGTGTGAGGGCGCAGAGAGTCAAGCATGATCTCCAGTTTCCTTGTCGACGATCAAAAGAGGACGAACTGACATTGACCTCAGAGGATTTGCTACACAATGCAGCCTCCTGCAGAGAGGTCACGCTGACACGACCTTCACGAGGATACACAAAGCATGGCGTCTCATGGACTGATCAAAGAAAAATCAACCTCTAGCAAAATGCTGGAGAGAGGAAAGTCTGCCGTGTTCTCGTGATTCTGTCATGGCTTCTTCACGTATGTAACGACATATATTGATGTGATGATTACACTGAAGCAACAAGAGGAATAATGGAGGTATACCGGAGCGTTCTGTGTGCTCACATTCAGCTATAACAAAATCCAGTGGATGATGTTTCACCGTTCAGCACGACAGCGATCCTCGAAGCAACCGAAGAGCTTTTAAGGATGAAGAGGTGGGATTCAATCACCTGATCTCAGTCTGGTTGAGCTGCATTCCACTTGCTGAAGACCAAACTAAAGGCAGACAGACCCCACGGTGATGATCCCGGAGAGCATCAACAAAAAATGTCCCAAAAAAATAAGAAAAATTGATACAAATAACAGGAAACAGCACCACATCCAGATTAAATCACATTTTTTTCTTTATAAACTGCTGTTTCCAAGGTCAGTAATGAACCTTCATGCTCATTTCTGTAGAATGTTATAAGTACAAGCTTGTAGCAGCTGCACAATAATCAAAATCCCATTTTGCCTCTAGGTGGCATAAAGACCCAACACAAAGTAATAGTGGTCACCATCTGTCCTTATATTTTGAACCCACACTGAGAGGCAGAACTGCTTGTTATTACAGATGTGCACATTTCACATTAGGCTCGCTCATATCTGGGGCGACCTGATGGCCAAGCGGTTCAGGCGACGCTGTGCGGCTGATAAAAACCCTCAGCAGCCAAGACCCCTATTAGACTGTTGGACCAGTTGTTGCATCTAATTTCTTTCTTGTCCGTCTGTACTGTTAGATCCATGTGCTAAAAACTAATCTTTTAAAGAAATGTTTTCATTTGTGTATAATGTAAGGCTTGAGAGAGTCGCCTTTCTATCATCTTGAATGTAAGTTGCTGTTTCCTACACCTGAAAGCCACTTAAACACTTGAGTGAGTCAACTTAAACACAGTCTGCTCCACCACATAACAGCACATTATCAGGTTTAGAAGTGATACCATACAGGAAGTAGCACTACTTTCATTTAAATTGACCTTTTTGTTGCTGCATATTTATGCACACTTGTAATCTAGAGGAGAAGTGGACAAACTGCATAGGCAATCCTTTATAAAGGTTCAGAAAAAAAGAGTGTTTTTTTCCCCCACCTTTATGCTTTGGCAGTTTTTCCAGTAATAAATACTTTGAAAGTTTATAATATACGACATTGGGAGCTGTCATGAAAATGAGAAATACCGCTTGCATTCAGTCCTTGGAACCTGTTATCTGTAAGGTTGCATCTGAAGTGTGGCTTTGAGTCAAAAAGAATGATGGATGGATTTCTGTATACTGGTATCAATCCAGTGGAAAAGAGGGGACCTTGTATCCTCCACTGCTACTAAAAGCTCTTTGACTCCAACTGGTACTGGACCACATGACCAGCATTTGGTGAGTGGAAACTGTTTCCATTACTGGGAGGCCAGTCGCAGAATGACAATTAGTCATTTGTTCGATTTTCGTCATTCTCTGTTACTCAAGTTTTGGGATCTGATGATTAAGCAGTGCTACGTTCACAAGCAGTGGACGGAATCGCTTGTCTTAAAATGTGCAGGGTGATAATAGTAACAAAAGCTAAAGCACCATCACACATACATCCTCACAATTATGTTGTGTAACCAGGGTGAAGGAGGGAGTCGGAGAGAGAGAGAGAGAAAAGGAGAGAGAGAGCTTTCTGGAGGCCATTTTGACATTTGCTGAGCCCACTGCTACAACTGTCAGCCATCAATTGATGACCTTGGGATTGTCCTTAATGAAGCTGTCCAACATCGCAGCCAGCGAGTCAGCTATTTATAGAAGTGAAGGTACCGAACGAACAAAAAAAAAAAGAAAGAAAAGAAGAAAGAAAGAGGGGCATACACGTGCACACAAGCACACACATCCACCATAAATACACAGCGAGTGTTATTACTGACAAATGGGACTTTCCGTCACTCGGGGGAAGGTGTGGGGCTTTTGAAATGAAGTCAGCTGCGTTCCTTCAGTTCTCACTTCTCTTTCATGCATATTTAGCCTGATGATGCATTTCTCCTCAATCAAATGAAATCAGCATCAAGGATAGAAGCTGAATTAACTCTCAGTATCATGTATATAGGTCAGTTTTGAAGTTCTAAGTGTGCTGGGAAATTTTTTAGAATGATTTTTGTTTGAGCAAAAATGTAAATCTTGTATGTTTACAGGACAAAATGTGGATAAATGCTGACATGTAATCAGCATCTCTGACCTCTAACAATGTGAAAGCAAACATATTATCTTGTTTCTTTAAAGGAATCAGCCATAGTAATTTAGAACGTTACTTATGGCACACCTGTAACCTTGCTGTCACCCTTACCTCTAAAAAAAAAAACCCCAAAAAACAAGACATCTAATATTCTCAGCACAGATTTCTGTATATTTTTTTCATCTAACTAACTCTGAGCATTTGAGAAAGCAGCTGTTTATGTAATTTTTAGCACCAATTTTTCTATCCTGCGTTGTTTCTTTGACGCCCGTGATGATGACATTGTCGACAGCACAGCAGGCTGAGCAGCAGGGAGTTATACACTCCAGTCTGCAGGGTCTTTACTTCCGTACCTGCACAACAGATGCTGGTGGAGCACGGGGTGTGTTGATTCATGAACGCCGGGTTTGGTAGCTCCTCCATCATGCCGCTGCTTCTATCATCTGCAGCAACTTGCCAAATCGAGCATTTCCCTACGAGTCTGTCCAAAGTGCAGGTGCAGACGAATGAAGCCACGAGGGAAAGTCGACGTACAGGAACAGAGGAAACTAGAAGAGGAACTTTCTAAAATATCTGCACTTTCAATCTATGCAAATTAATGACATAAAAAAAGAGAAGATTTTGTAGAAGTGATTTTACTCACAGCTTCTTATATAAAACCATTAGCCACAACATTAAAACCAACTCTTTGTGCCACCAAAGCAGCTCGGGGATGGACACAGGACCCCTGGGTGTGGCCTATAGTGTCCTTTGGGTGCTGTTGGTAGCAGGTTGAGGCTTTCTTGTATTGAGTTTGTTCAGGTGCATCATGTGGATGCTCAGTTGTATTACGATGTGGGGAGTTCAGAGGCCAGATCAACACCTTGGGCCCTCAGTGGAGCCATTCCTGAGCAGTTCTGGCTAACGTTGGGGATACGTTGTCTTGCTAGCTGAGGGCACTGGTGTAGAGGAGGGCCTTTGCAACAAGGTTTGGGTGGGTGCACCTGCCAAAGTACCATCCATACGAACGTCAGGAACCAAGGTTTCCCAGCAGAACATTGCATCATAATGAGCTGACCATGTATGCACCTGCTATGATGGTTTGAATGTTGTTTCTGAACAGAGTATATTTAAACCTGATATATCTGCGAACGGGTTGCAGCATTTCCACTGAGCATCTAAAGGCCTTTCTATTGGCCTATAACATTAAACAGAGACTATAATTAAGAAGAGCATTCGTGGCTTGGACCAAAATATGCAGATGACACTGACCACGGCGCATGTACGCATGTAAAATGGTCATCAGCACGTCAGCCTCTGTGGTCGGTGACAGGACTCAGATGCAAAGCTGTTTCCAAAAATAAAAGAGTGCAAAGCAGCGCAACTTGCAATTTCACTGTTTGTCTTTAAATTCTAACTTTGGTGTTTTTTTGTAGATTTTTTTTGTTATTGTTGGATTGAGGACACTGTGGAATTTTGCACGTTAGTTTAACTGGCAATTATTAAGGTTATTTAAGTTAGAACAAGTGTGCTATTCGACCACTTTTTATACTCTGTTGCCCCACAGATGTCTGCGTGACCGTCATCAGCACTGAACAGAACCAAAACCACTTCCTTGTCTTAATATAGTACAAATGGAGAAGTAAGAACGAGACAGATAAATGAGTATGCATTTGATTTAGATTGCCTCCGAGTCGCTCATTTCTCTTCACTTGCAGCACATTGTGTACACATTCATTTATACAAACTCCTCGTCTTCCGGGAAGTATATCAAGATCACCAGCATCGTGAGTAATAAATTACACTTGGTCTTTTATTCTACGCTTTTTAAAGAACAGAAACATTTTTCTATGAGAAAAAAAGCTCAGTTTTGAATCGTAAGTGTTAAAATGTGATGTTTTTGTCCTTATCACAGAAATCTAGTAGTGTGAACGCTTTTAGGATTTGATGTCTATTTAAGATCGAGTTTAGAAATACACTGTAAAAACACAATCATGTGTTCATAAATGAATCCTCCAACAATGTAAGAAATGATAACTGATGCTAAAAATATCTGTAACTGTGTAAACCTAACAAGGCCTGCTTATGATAAAACTATCAACACACGCCTTGTTTTGAGCTCCGCAGATTAGAACGTTTAACAGAAAAAAAAATTCACTCAATACTTAATTCATGTTTTTTCTTTTTACAATTTTCACCAAGTTTTAAAAAACACAGTACAGACACCTAAAGTTCCTTCAAATCAGTGTTATTGGGTCATATTGCCATTTCAAACGACATATACAGTATATTTCAGTACTTTACAGATATTTGTAGGGCAGCTGTTGGTTTCCAACAGATGTTAGGATGTAATTAAGTAAATTTGCTTGTTTCATGTGATGCGTCACAATAAAAAGGAGGTTCAGTGGGATGTTATTTCATTTTATCCTGGTCTATCAGCCAGATGCATTTTCATACTCTAATAAGGGGCAAGAAGCCTTCAAATTGACACGATCCTTTTATCCTCTATCCCTAACTTTTCACTTTGGGGTTTGATTTTCCAAAAATCATAGCTTTTGGTACAATACTTTTTAGTAACTTACTCTTAAGGATTAGATCTTTCAAGACAGTCGACTGACCAATTAACCTACACTTGCTTTTTGAAAGGTTATTTTTCAGGCATTTTTTTGTCTTTATTGGACACCAAGAAACATGAGCCACACAGGTCCACAACTAGAATCACAGTAGGGACGTTGCAAATATGTGCCTGTTGATATTAACATCTGGTCTTCAATGGTACGACCCTGCTTTGATAGAAAAATACAAACTATTTATGACGGTGTAAATTTGACTTAAAAATGTTCAATGTTTCTGTCTACGCCGATATTCCACCAACCATAAAACCTTTTTTTTATCTCTGTAAGAGGCTGATAGATTTTTTTTTACCCCCTCTGTGTGGGTTGTACCATTAAACACGACATACCAACGAGCCTGCAAATTTCCGGACTTGGGCTACATTATTTCTCAAGTTATGGCATTTCTAACATTGCGCCACAGATTCACACGAAGAAAATGATGCAACTAATCAACATGAACCCACCCCTCTCTATAAATATTTTACTCAAAAGGTTAAACATCTATGAACAAAGATTTTACACGTTTTACTTAATTGCATACGTGTGCACAGAAAATAAAAAATAAAAAATTGACAAACATGAAACAGTCAGGCATGAACTTTTTTTTTAAATGGCGAACTGAGATGGAATTATTCGAAGAGCAAATACGTGATGTGCTAAATGAATAGATAAATAAAAACTGCAGTATTTTAAAGATTGTTTGATGCGCAGTAATAGGAGAAAGTACTCAGATCAGAGATAATACTGAAGTATTTTCTTACACGTACTGTGAAAGTACTTCATTCAGATTGTTGCTCAAGTGAAAGTATTAGCATCTAAAATAATCAAAGTGACAGAATTTTTGAATCCTGTATATGTATATATGTGGATGATAACCAGAGATACCACTCTATGTAGTTACTGGAACCTAAACTACACCCACAAGATTGCGTTATTGTATTATGTTTTGTATTGAATTGTAATGTGTCTCCCTAACCAGCAGAGGCAGACGGCTGCCCTGCCTGAGCCTAGTTCTGCTGGAGGTTTCGTCCTATTAAAAGGCAGGTTTTGTGTTTTCCAGCTGTCACCTAATAGCTGCTTTGCTGGGTTTCTCTCTAGAATATAATAATAGAAGGTCTGTGTGAAGTGCCTGAGGTGACTTATGCTGAGAATTGGTGCTTTATAAATAAATCTGGATGAAATTCAAAGTAACTAAATCTGTCAGCTGCATTTAGCGGAATAACAAGCACAATATTTACCTCCGAAACGGGGCTGAGTTAAAGTATAAACTGGAATAAAATGCAATTACTCAGATAAAAATACAAGTACCTCATAAGCAGTTTTGTCTTCTTGTCCTCACTGTATTAAATGTGTATTCCAAACTCACTTTAACCTGACCTGCCATGCCATGTCTTCTCAGGTACCAACATGAACATCTTCCTCCTCCTGCTGTACTGCACAGAAATCCTGGGTGTATTACTGTTCATCCCGGGGCGTACTAGTGCAGACACAGATACACAAAATGTCGGGAACGTCACTTCTTCAACTTCTCTGCCAAAATCCCAACAAGATTTCAACACCACTGCCAGCAGCGTGTCAGATGCTAACAGCTCTATGAGCTCTGAGCCATCTTCAGCAGTCATAGAGATGTCCACTAGTCGCAGCTTCCCACCTTCATCTGGTCCAAAGCCCGCCACCGCCACCACTAAGACCACCACCACCATCAGCAGCAGCCCAAATGAGATATTTCAGATAAAGGAATGTCGCTCAGCACTCATAGTGTCTGCTGGGCTGATCCTAGCCTGCGTGATTTTCCTGATAACCACATTGTTTTTGGCATGTAGGACGTGCCAGCTGAGCAGACGCCTCAAGAGGCTGGGCGCCAACGCCGACCTGATCAGCAACTCCGAATACTGGATGGGAACCGCCAAGAAGGACAAAAGCAAGTCAGACACAGAAGGCAAAGAGACCACCGTGTTGATGTCTGACTTAACACAGGAAGAGATGAACAATGGTCCCACCAAAGAAGACGGAGGGAAGATGAAAGAGGATGGACAAAAGGGAGAAGAGAAGGAGGCGGGAGACGCAGCCAACGGTGAGGAAGTTGCAGCTGCGCCGGCAACTGTAGCTGAAAATTCATCCTCCTCAAAGCCACAAGAGGAGGCCGCCAACTCCCAGCCCGCCAAGGATGCCGCAGCCTCCTCCTCTGAGGGCGCGGAGTAGCCAAAGGATGTGCTCTAGAGTGTTCTTGCGTGTGAAGCCAGAAAGTTTCCTGAGCAACTACCTTCACCTCCCTGTAGCTCTAAAATCCCTCCACTGTGAGAAAAAGGATTTCTTTCAGCAGCTTTTTCCCGCCCTTCCAATCGCACAACTCGCGTGTGCTCTTCAACTTGCCAACTTGAGCCTTTCTGATTCAAAAACAGCTGGTTAATATTTCTGTATTTTAAAATCTGAAACGTGTTAATATCAAAATCCACTTTTGTGCAAGTTGTTTACGCTTCACATGTTTGAAAAAAGAAATGAGAAATAAACCAAGAATTGTAACCTGAATTGAATACAATGCTGTCATTTCCCATTTAGTTGTGTAACATGTGTGCATGCTTTTGTGTGTGTGTGTGTGTGTGTGAGAGAGAGAGAGACACACAGAAAGAGAGGTCTGCTTGATTAGCAAGCAGAGAATGTGCCTCTTCCAGGCAGTGCCACACAACTCAGAAAGAACGCTCCCTTTCACCTCAGCCAGAGCTGACAAAGCCGCACAAAAACCCCTTTTCAAAAAACCAATATGGGGCTGTTTCCGCCGTTATGTGCAGATATTTGTTCATCTGCTCACTTGTGACGTCATGTGCACCTTTCATTTAAAAAAGAAAAAAAAAAAGAAGAAGTCTGAATAGTTGGCAAAACATCCTGCACTGAGCCGGTCCTGAATCTACACCTCCAACACTGATGGAAAAACACCTTGAGCCGGAGCAGCTCTGGGTGATGTGCGAGTATAGAGATGAGATGCAGTTAAAGCCATTCTCAGTAAGTCAGTGTAAAATATTTCTCAGGCAGCACCTTTCTTTTCTTTTTTTCTCTCTCGCTCTCTTTCTCTCGATGTATTGTACAGCAGGCTTTACAAGTGAATATGGGGGATTTGGATGATTTTTCTCTCTGCTGCTACAGTATTTGGTAACACAGCTCAAACTGACAGCATGGCGTGTTGTACAGTGACTGACAGTGGAGGTGAAGGTTTGACTTTGAGGCTTGTTGGAACGGGCAGTGACAGGATACACGAGTTTTAATCTCAGTGCAGGTGGAAGTAGAGGCGGGTGAGGAAAGGAAAAGCACAGAGAGAGAGAGAGGTGGGTGAGGAAGTAGCGAGCACATTGCAAAAAGAGTGCTGTGTTTAGTTTACATGGCCACTGAGCAAAAAAAACACACAAAATAATAATTCACACTCTCTGCTGCCGTGCTTGCATAAATCAGGAATGTGAGCTGCAGTGATGCAATCATCGAATTTGTCACATTTTATAAGTTTAAAAACCCTGATTGACTGTCCCCGAGGACCCCCGGTGTAATTGTGTGCTAGAAGTACAGCAATGCAGTGCAAAACGGAGAGTTGCCTGTATTGCTAATGACAGGTAGGAAGCTGCAGTGGAGGAGAGTCCTCTGCAATAAATCTCCAGGCTTTTTTTTTTTTTTGTGACAGCCTCTAAATGTACGCGGGGAAAACAACAGCCAATTACAGCACATCATTACTTTGTAAATGGACACTTTAGAGAGGGGTAATACAGATTTAGGTGATAACTGATTACAGTCGGGCTTATTGTGAATGCAAGCGGGACCGAAATCAGCCGGTAAATCTAAACACAACAATAGCTGTGACTTTAAATGCAGATGTAAATCCTGAAAGCTGCCGGATTTAAAAGGGACCGTGGAGTTCTCCTTTTGTAGAATCCTTTTTTTTTTTTTTTTTATGCAGAGACCCCTCCATTATGCGCTCCATTTCTCCTTACCCCCGCCAACACTGCACCCCTCCCCTCTCACTTCCACTGCACAGAGTAAATCCAGAGCCTGCAGTGCCTGATCGCGCCAACCCAAAAGATCCATAAGAGGCAATAGTAAACTCCCGGCTTTTGAAAGAAGACAAAAGGACTAAACTGCAAGGCAGGGAGAGGGCAGCCGGACAAAAAAAAAAGAAAAAGAGAAAAAAAAAACCCTGCACTGGACAAGTGAGCAGGGGGGTCAAGTAAGGAATAAAAAAAAATCATAGAAAAAAAAATCACCTTCAGCAGAGCACCAGCTGGTCCCGAGCTTGAAAGCAGAGAGAGAGGAGAGGGAAGAGGGGCCGGACAGCAAACAGGAGCAGAGAAAAGTGACTGGAATGATAAGATGAGAAGGTGAGTTATGGACAAATTTAAAGACTCTTTTCTTTTCTTTTTTTAACACACACATTCTGCCACACCCCGGCTCACAAATACTGCAGTTTCAACAGTGCAGAGCTCCTGGCTGTGTCTTTGCCTGCCTTTGGACCAGCTGATGCATGAGTTCTCTGTGGAGTCATTAATAAAACCCATCTATTGAGCTAGTTCTCCTCCTCTGAGAGCATGGGACTGACTTCACTGACAACCACTGATGACTGAACACGAAAACTGATGCCAGGGAAAATGACTGCAGGGATTTCTCATCCTTTGTGATGAATGATATTCTTCAATAGACTAGAAATATCCTCCTGCAGTTCAGGTCAAATGTTTATCAGTTATAGAAAAGGACACATTTCAACGCTGGCTAATGGTGCATATAAAGGATATTGCAACACAATCTCTGAAGACATGACTACATAATTAGGGGAGTCAGTTTGGCATGTCATACTAATGTGTGCACCTGAAGTGATGTCCAGCAAACATGAGGCTGTCTGTCAGTGTGTGTGTGTGTGTGTGTGTGTGTGTGTGTGTACAGTAAAGTGAGAGAGAAGCTAGAGCCACAGAGAAATGATGAAACCAATTTTATACAGCACAACTCTCTACGGTTACTATGCTTCTCCTACAGACAGCAAATGTTTGTGTCCTGTGTTCACTATCCAAGCCCACTGCAGGCATCACTTCCACTTTCACAGTGTGCCTAGCCGGTGCTTAAGAGGACGCTGTCTACAACAAACACTAATGTTCTCGTCTCCCTGTCTTTTCTTTCAGCAGGCATGTGCTGCTGAAGCTTTTTCTTAATGAGGCCCTTCTGGAAATTGCGCTGCTGTTGTGGCTGGGGTCGCGTGTCCTGGCCGTGTGCCCCTCCATGTGCTCCTGCAGCCGCAGCCACAGGGAGGTGGACTGCTCGTGGAGGGGTCTGAGACACCTGCCCGACGGCCTGCAGCACAACCTGCGCTCCCTTAATCTGTCCCACAACCGCTTTCAGAACCTGGACGGTCAGCTCACGGCGTACACTCATCTCCGCATCCTTGATTTGTCCCACAACCGGCTCAACCAGCTGCCCGCGGATTTGCCTCGTTCCCTCTGGCAGATCTACGCCGCCTCCAACCGCATCCTGGTGCTGGATAAGAATGACACGGTCTACCAGTGGAACCTGCGAAAGCTTGACCTTTCCCATAACAAGCTGGAGAGGGCCACCTTTATCAACAACACACTGATCAAGCTGTGCACACTCAACCTGAGCCACAATCACTTCTGGACTTTGCCCACCAACCTGCCAATAAACCTGGAGACTATTGACCTGTCCCACAACTTGCTTGTGAACGTGCTGCCGGGCTCTCTGGACCGGCTCCCCAGACTGACTCACTTCTACCTGCATGCTAATCGCTTTTCCTCGCTGCCCTTTGGCGTGTTGGACAAGACGACGTCGCTGAGAGTCATCACTCTGGGCGACAACCCCTGGGCCTGCCACCTTTACGCCGACACTGCCTACCTAGTCTCCTGGACCCAGCATACGTCTGCACGTGTCCTGGGCTGCCCCTGCCACACCCAGCCCGTCTGTGGAGGGGTGCGCCCTGGCAGGACTGGAGGGTGGCACTTTGCCTCCTACAACTTGCCCCCTCTGGCTGCTAGTGCCCAGGATCTGAGCTCTCCGCCCCCTGAGGACAGTGTCACCGGGTGGTGGTACTTTAGCGTTTCTGCTCTGCTGAGCACCCCACACACCCCTAAAGAGACTCTGAACACACCCACCCTGACATCCAGGAGCACAGGCACCAACCTAACCATTAATCACCTTTCTGCCACTGCGGCTGACATAGATCGCATGTGGCACACCGATTCTTATCTCGTCTCTGACACAAAGGGAACCTCACCCACGGACTCATTCCACGCCACTGACACATCCGCTTTTTCTGACACAAGTCTCATTACTGAAAAATCCATCAGGGATGACATGCGGCTGGCCACAGACCGATTCTTTACAACAGAGAGTCCCTCCATCCAAACAAAGAAAACAACCACTCTTCGCACCAGGAGCGTGAGGAGGCAGAATCAGTCCCCTCCTCGCGCCATCGGCGGCAGCAGCAGCCCGACTCTTGCTACCTGTTCATTACTTCGCAATCTGGTGCTGATGTCTTTCATCCTGCCTCAGCTCCTCTGAAAGACAAATGAAAAACATTAACACCTTTAGGGTTACAGCACAATTAAAACACACAAGACTCTACTGATTCTTGGTGGACTGTTACGTTTGTGTATTACCAGCTTCCTTCAGCACAAAAAGGGCCAATTACGATACAAACGACGGGCTTTGTGATAAGTTTAATCGTTCGTGCTTCACCGCGTAGAGTATGATGCTACTTTTCTAATTAGATGTCAAAAGAAACAACAATTTAACTTTTCTAATCACACTTTTTACAAGGCTCTCCTCGAATGCAGCTGATTAGAAAAAAAAAAAAAAAACATTGTAATGATAATAGCTAAGCACATGATGGCACTATACATTCAGGTAGCAGTTTGTTATGTAACTGGACGCCTGGTGTTCATCTGCAGCCACAGTCTATTTCAAGGCTAACCAAGGTGCTCTTCATTGCACGTCATGACCCACATGCACCTTTTTGTTTTTTATTTTTACAATTTTTTTTCTATATTTTCTAAATTTGACTGATGACTTGTTGTCTTGGCTCTTCTGTTTTTGTATTGTTTTTATTTTAATCATTTTATATTGTTGTTTGGTGCTTTGACCTACAAAAAAAAAAAAAAATGGCACAAAATTTCCGTTTACTTTAAAAAAAAAAAATCCTCTTTCAATAGATGTCAATGATGCTTGCCTGCTTGTTTGTCTTTTCCAGGGACTTAATCCATACATGAAATTGGTCATGACATGTTCACGGACAGGAAACAACAGAGACTCTGTGGAGCAGAGGGCAAACAAATGGACAGTGTTGCGTCACTGCATTTAACAAACTCCGAGTGCCGAGCGCCGCTTCTGTATTTTGATCACATCTCAGACTTAAGTGTCCTTCATGATTCAGTGACGCTCGTGAAAATTATCTGCATGGTGATTGAACGTTCCAGGAATGCTAACTTACTGCTATGTTGCCGCAGAGCATTAAAGCACAGACATTTTAAGCTTATTTATACGAAATGTTAAGATATTCAAATCTTGATTGCGTTAAACAGCAGAGATGCACCAACCTACGGATTTTTACATTTCGGTGATACATTTGCATACGGAACCTAAAGGTGCCAAAATAGTAAGAAATGCATCACAGCAGGCTGCGTTTGATAAAGTGAAGAAGAAGAAGAAGAAGAACTATTGCCAGGGAATTTCATTTCTTGTTGGGTGCTTCTCCAAGGTGATTTCTGCACTGTTAAATAAAATGTGATCTATTTGCACCTTCTGATGATTGTTTGAATTTTACCGCAACTGCTTTTCTTCACACAATTTTTTTTTTGTGCTTTTTTTCTACCCTGCAAAGACTGTTGATTTTAATTTAAAAGTGTGGAATGATAAAGTCTCAGGGGAGAGGAGGGGAAAAAAAGCAAACTGCAAATCAATTCAATCCAAGCTTGTGTCTACTAGAATCTGTTCTGTAATAGTTGCATGAAGGAACTGAACAACTACGCTGTATCTCCCAGGAGTCAAAACAACGAGTTGCTTGGATTTTATTCACACGTGTTGGAGTTGTTTTTTTTCTTTCAGTGAATATTCACTGAGCACAGCAACACACAGCCAAACCTTGCCGCGCAGTTAATCACACCTGGACACTGCCCAGAACAAACATAATCTTATCTGTTGGTCATTGAGCAATCACTTTTCTCGTTTCCCCATTTGATAAAAAAAAGAAAAACCAGTGCAACATAGAATCATAAGCGCTGACATACATCGTGGAACAGACACTAGCAGGGAGGTGCATGTTCTTCATTTGACCTGTCTTGAAGAGAAGTGAGAAAATCTCACATGCAGGAACATCTGTGACAGAGAAACTGAGCTCCCGCGTGGCAGTGAGTGGCACAGAAGGTGTGAGTCTGGTGAACAGGTGACCCTGTGGTTCAGCCTCGGAGAACAATATGGTGTTACTGTCACCACCCACACAGTGAATGATAAACATCTGATGCAATGCCAGGCCATGGATCAGACCTGAACAGCGCTCCAAAAAGGCTGCACCACCCCGGCTGACATATAGTGCATTTTCGACAGTGCAGGGCTGCTGAGAAATGCATTCTCCTGCATAAAAATGTTTACATTTTAAACACTATACAAGTGCTAATTTGCAGGCAGAGAGAGCGTACGTGTTCGATAACAAGTCGACAGCAGAATGCAGTGATTTAGCAATAAGTAACATATGATATTGCTTGTTATCTAAAATAATTCTTCACAAAACCCTTTAATCGCAGTGTATTGTGGGGGAAATAAAACACTCACAGTGAATAAATTCTATGTATTTATGGCTTAAAAGCTGAAACAGAAAGTTGTGGTGGGTGTGCTCATTATCTGGAAACATGACTTAGGGTTGACAGAAAGTTGACTTTCATTTCTCACCTCGGTTCTGTTTTCTTCAACTTGCACCTTCACTTACTCCATTATAACTCAGAGGAAATATTATTAACCACCAAACCAGATCATTTCACAATGCAGGCCGGGTTTATGAGACCTAAAAAGACAGACTGAGAGTTTAGGTTTGCACCATTTCTATAAATATACACACCTAATAACATCGCATAGGCTTCCCTTGTGTCACCAAATTGACATGAAACCTCTCGGGGTGTGTTTTGGCACTGGGATGTTGTCAGCGGATACTTTGGGAAGTAATTCTGAAGGTTAGGACCCTCTGTCATCAGGCTGTGGAAGCTTAGACACAGAGTTCTGGGGAGTTTGACGGCCGGATTTCAGCTCTTTGTCGTGTTCCTCAAAGTGTTCTTAAGCTGTTGTTGCACTGTGGGTCAGGGTGATATTGCCATGGGGAGGGGGTGGTCAGCAACAAGGTTTCCTAGGAGAACAATGCATTGTAACTAGATCATCAATGTAGTGGTTTTAATATTGTGGCCTATGTTTCTATGTATTTATCTCTCTGCCTCCCTTTTGCTGCAGAACTTTAAAACATCTCTTCCAAGTACTTTAGGTGCCAGTGAGCCGGCCTGATAGCCAATTATTTTCTCTGTAGACAACACAAAGTAATGTCAGATTTCTCCTCTGGCTTCTCCTAATAACTGACAAGGTGTAGAAGGCTAGCATCATTTACGGCTGCCATGCCTCCTCTCTTTATCTCACCACCCGAGCTTGTTTTGAGTGAGATTCCTTCTTTCTTTCAGCCACACTCAATAACACTCACCCTCGCTGTGCTTCTTTGTACTGCCCTCTTGTGTTCTCGTAAATTTAATTTCCCATCACCTTCATATATTATATCACCGTGTTCAGACAGTGGTGTACAGAAAGGTTTTAAGAACACATAGTGTACTGCAATATTAAAGCCAACAATCATTGTGAGTGTCTGTAAAAAGAGAAAGGAGAAAAGAATTCCTGCAGTCCTGAGTAAGAGAGGTCAGGGTGCAGCTGCAGGTGGTGGACCGGATTGTTTGTGAGATTCTAGACACAGTGCTTTTAAACAGAGCAGAGGAGACTGGTAACTTCCTCAAATACACATGCATCAAAGACACATGAACACAAATGACATCAGTTCCTATGATTACGTGTGCTCTAAGTGCCCTCTTGTGGTTAAGATACGGAAATTAATGTTTACCCCAAAACATTGCAGTCACAGAGACAACCCTCACCAGGACACTGTTCGTCCCTGACAGAGACCACACTGTTCTCAAGGCCCTGTTGACAAAAATCTTCTACTTTTAGAAAAGCCAAATTCTGGAGTTTACTGCCGTGACTGGACTTGATCATTAGGAACTGAGGTGCACATGTGATGTTAAATGAGTTCAAACACTGTAGATAATTTTCCGGTCTTTTCGTTTTGACATGTGATTTATACAGAAACACCAAAATCAAGAAAGGAAATGACTAAGAGCATTGAACGGAGGATAATAGTCCATTCAAGGATAATGAGATGGGAAATTTATCACAGTTGCTGTAGATAATCAGCAGCCTCCAGGCCTAAGGTACACCTCACGTAACGCCCCTTATTTTGGACGGCGGTGACAGAGCAAAGCGAACACACATGGCGACACAAAGAGCGACCTACCTTGAAAAGACCACTGCAGCCTGCTTATGGCAGAAACAATGGCTGCCAATTTCGATCTCCTTAGAGGCTGGGTCACAATATCAATTGTAGCCCAGAATTAGGCTGGTACCCAACCAAAGGACGCTCAAATGCTGCAGATAAAGTTTATCTGATAAACCTAATCTGTATTGACAGCTTGGGTCTATATGCCAAGGCCCAGCGTCTCTTTGAGCCAAGAGCAACGTTTTCCAGGCCGGGCACTGATCAGCCGAAAAGCGAAATGTGTAGGAATCTGGAAGAAATAACAAGGCATACTCCAGCAGCCGGAAGACTGATGAGACAGGCAAAATTCAACCCTGCAGCGTAGTGGGGGGAAGCTGAGGCTGTGGTATCTCTCGCTCTCATCTCAATGGCACAGACAAGGCAAGGTCAGTGTTAAGGTCAGTGGTTGCAGAATAGGAAGTGGTTGGCAACTGAGAGAATATATGGTGGCAGCCAGTTAGGGGAGGAAAAGAATGTAAAAAGGAAGCAAGAGAGAAAAGACTGCAAAAACACAGAATGAGCCAGAAGACAGAAAAGCACCACTTTAGCTGGTTGTCTAGAGAGGCTAGCTTACCACCACTAGCCTATGGAGGATTTCTGTTTTAAATGTGTCCGGCACGGCACATGCCCTCATATAGACAAACTTAGAAAAAGTGAATAAACTGGGATATAAGGGCCCCTCAGGCTAGTAATCCATATTATGTGTCAGTTAGCAACAACAAATGCAGATGAACGCTTGTGTGATGATCTCAAAATTTCAGAACTTTTGATGAATCTAAAGAGAAAACAACCCAAAACACAGCTCACCTCACCAGGCCGGTTTCACATTCAGCTGCCACAAGAGAAGGCAAATGCCATTTCTTCTGCCTTGACAAAGCTCTCCAAAAGGCCAGCACACACATCTTTCTCCCCCCACTGCTGACTGTACAGGTGATAGGATGGCTCCTTG